ATTGAGAGAAAGAAAGCTTCTGTCCAAGAGAAGGACAGAAGGGGGACCCGAGTGGGTTACCCCCATGAGCTCTAGGTCTTAAGTTGGACTCATGCAGGACATTATTGCAAGATCCAGGCCCTCCGCTGAATTCTTCATCTATGTTGTATGGACAGGTTTCCTGCACTCTCTTGTATAATCATTCTTTGGGTGACTATTATAAATAACTTTATAAAATATGTGTCCTGTATTATATTGTTCTCCCTTGCAAAATAAGCCCCAAACCCTAACAAGTGGCTATTTTCTCAAGTAACCTATTTTCAACAAAAGGTCAAAAGACAAACACAAAAACACAGGCCACTTAAAGGACCAACATATGTCTATAGAGATCATCCCTGAAGAAAGATGTAAGACTCACCAGAAATATATTTTGCAACATCATATTGCACATAATACATACAATTTGTCAGTTTAAAAACAAAAAGTCTTAAAAATACTAAAAGTGCTAAAGAAAATCAGAAAAATAATATATTAACAAAATGGTAGTATCAAAGAAATGGAAATTATAAAGACTACACAGAAATTCTGGAGCTGAAAATTGTAACCATCAAAAAATTCACTAAGGGATTCAACAGCAGACCTGGAACCACTATTTTTTAAAAACAAAACAAAACAAAACAAAAAATTTACTTATTTTTTGAGACTGGGTCTTGCTATGTAGCCCAGGCTGGCCTTGAACTCATGGCAATCCTTCCTGCCTCAGCTTCCCAAGTGCTGGATTACAAACAAGTCCCGCTACACCCAGTGGAGTCAGTGATTCTGAAGGAAGAACCAGGGATCCTGAATACAGTTCATGTGAAACTGTCACGCAGAAGCAAAAAGGACAAGAAAAGTAAACAGCCCAACGGACTTCTGGGACAACACCAAGTGGACCACATATGCATACAGAAGTCTCAGCAGAAGAGGGAATGTCCCCAGTTTGAGGAAGGACATGGATCTACAGATCTAACAGGCTTGATAAACCTCAAGTGAGACAAGCCTATACCAAGACATATAATCAATCTTGAAAGCAGCAAAAGAAGAACAAGTCACCATGTATAAAGGATCTCCAGTAAGGTTGTGAACAGATTTTTCAACAGTAACTCTGGTGACCACAGACAGTAGAATGAACTATTTAAAGCCTTGAAACACTGTCAACTGAGAATTCTACATCTGGCAAAACTGTTCTTCAAAATGAGGGAAAAATTAGGACACGTTCTGATTTTAAAAAAACCTGAGGGAGTTCATGACCACTAGACCTGCTCTGTAAGAAATGCTTTAAAGGGAGTCCTTCAGGCTGAAATGAAAGGACACCAGAAATCCACTAAGGACACTAAGAAATGGCCAGGGAATAGAGAGATAAAAGAATACTTTTTGTGTGTGATTAAAGTTAAGATGGTATAAATTCAAATTAGATTTTTTAACTATAAGATGTTAAAAGTCACTCCATGGTAACCACAAAGAAAATATCTATACACACAAAATGAGGATAATTGAAAATATGTCTTACAAAAACCCAACTGAACATGAAAGAAGGCAACTGAAGAAACGAGGGGCAGAAAACACTATCCGACAGAAAATTACAAAATGGCAAAGTATGCCTTTATCTGTAATTACTTTAAATGTAAATGTATTAAACACCTCAATCAAAAGACACAGACTGACAGAATGAATTTAAAAAAGAACAGGCTCCAACTATATTCTGTTTGCAAGAGAATCATTTTAGATTTAAGGACATTCACAGGTTGAAAGAGAATGAAAAGAAAGTCAATGTAAACAACAAGCAAATGTGTGCAGGAGCGCTAGACTACTAGCAAGCAACACAGGCTAAGTCCGAACTGTTAGGGCCTAATGAAGGACATAATGAAGGACATGACGAAACAGCAGAAGAATCAGTTCAACAAGAAGATACAAATTACCATCATATACTCACCAAAGCTTAGAACTCCTAAATATAAAAAGCAATCGCAGAGGAGCTGAAGGGAAAAACAACTGTAGAGCATAATAGTTAACCAAGTGAGCACGAGAAATCTTTAAGAATCAGACTTTTTGTCTCTCACAGACAGGCCGCCTCTCTTAACTTCCTCACACTCCCTCCTCAGCTCAGACGAATGAGCAGAAAGGTAAGAACACCTCCACCGGAGAAAGGAATAGGCAGACGCCGGCCCAGAAGGCTTGAGTATCGTTTCCACCGGGAAGGCCGAGGCAAGAATGGCCTGGGATGAAAGGGCAAAACTTTGTCCTGTCTCATCGTATTTCCCACTTCCCGCCTGCAGGAACAGCTTTTGTGTACCAGAACAAGGTGAGGCGCAGATGTCAGGCAGTGAAAGGCCCATCTTCTTCAGAGCCAGCTTAGAGTAAGTCTTTTCATGAGACTCCAGCACCCCAAAACGCAGGAACAAAACCACTTGGCACCCATTAAGATGATGTATTGTCAGCTTTCCCACTGCTGGGACCAAACCCCAACACACACAACTTAGAGAAGTTAAATATTTTGGTTCACGGTTTCACAGGATTCACTGCAGTCAGCTGGCTTTGCGGCAGAAAGAGCAGGGCAGGACGGCATGGTGGAAGAAGGCTGCATCGTTCACGGCAGCCACGGGGCCGAGCAGGGGACCAGTGCCAGAAAGTAGGGGACCACGGGCAGCCCCTGAGATAAGCCTCCTTTGCCCACCTCGCCCCCCACGGAAGCGCACTTTTACTCATCCCCTCGGGCGCTCCCAAGCCAACCAGGTTGACAGTGGAGCTTAACGGTCACAGCTGGCTGTTACAAAAATCAGACCAAGCCAGAAGACAGGCGTAAGCAAAAAGATGGACAAACGAAAGCTCACGCGCTCGTGGTGAGAAGGCAAAATGCCGTCATGGAAAACAGTAGGCGGTTCCTGCCGTATGAATGAAACAGTCACTGTATGATCAAGTAATCCTGCTGCTGGAGACGGAACTCAAAGGATGAAAAGGACGAAGAAATACTTGTATGGCTGTGTTCACAGCACATGACCCGCAGTGGGAACGGAGGCAAGCGAAGGACCCGCTCACGCGGACAAACAAGACGTGGCACATACGCTAAGAGAAGACCGCTCCGCCTGAAAACCACTTCCCGACAATATGGATAAGCACTGAGGATATTATGCTAAGTGACGGTCACAAAAAGGACGTATAGGATTCTACCGATACGAGGTCTGTACAACAGTCCAAAACGCACTGTGACAGGAAAACGGCATCAGGCTGGGGAGAGCGGGAGGTCTGCGAAGGTTCCGTCTGAGAAGATGAGTAGCAGCTCTGGAGGCGGGTGGCGGTGACGGCCGTGCAACACGAGCGTGCTCAGTGCCCCTGCCCTGTCAACAACTGTCCCAATGGCCAATTCTGTCACGTACCTCTCGTCACCATCAAACACCAGAAAGTCTAACACCTCAGAATGGTGGCACATCACACACATGGAACGGTGGGCCAAGGCTTCCTTGGGCCTCCCCCGCTCCTGGGCGAGGGGCTTTCCAAGGGCGCAGCTCCCAGCCCCCCACACCAAGGTGAGAAGGAGAAGGCTCGTGATGGCCAACTTCAAGTCTCCGGCATCCGCGTCTTGGTCTTCCCTCCTGCACGTGGCGCTCACATCTCTCCTGCCCTGGCTGTTGTGCAAAGGTTTAAGTTCTCCCAGCAACCAGGTCACAGCGTGGCGGCCAGGCAGGGAATCGCGGGCTCCCTTCTCACCAGTAGCACGGATGTGCCTACTGCACAATCTACGCTAAGAAACGTTCTTTACACTGATGCCCCCCGCTCACCCCCACCCCTGGGCCCACAGCAGGCTCGGGGCGCACAGGATGAGTGCTGCCGCAGCTTCTGCCTGCGGCACCGTGAGGACTACCGGAGGGCGCCCGTCTTAGGCCTGACACCTGCACAATCCCCACCAGCCAGCAGTCTGCAGTCACAGCTCCTGTCATCGAGAACCCGAGACTTGCTCACACACACCTCCCTCCAAAACTAGGAGATACTTGGAATGGGAGCACCGTCAGATGGGCAGCATCTGGGCCTCAGCCTCCACCTGTCATCTAGGGTGCAGGGAGCGGGTGTGGAGTTGAGCTGGGTGAGGTCCAATCCCAGTTTCTCCAGTAATGGACAAACTACTCACCCCCCTGGAAATCCTTCCTCTGTAACGGACAGAGCTCTCTCTCCCGGGCGGAAGGTCCATCTCCCAGCACCAGTGTAAGAACCTCCAGAGTAGCTGCAGGAGCTTCTTGCTGGCAAGGAGCTTGCATTCAGGTCACCGCCCAGCCACAAGGGCACAAGCGGTCACATCTTCAGATGTCCTTCTGCAATGAGACCGGAGCCAAGTCAGCTTCAGCTCAGCCTTGAACAATGGAGTGCAAAGGGACGGGAGGGGAGGGTCAAGGGCCCAGAGAGGGCGCCCTGCAGACCCAGCTGCGTGCATCAGCACAGGGCTGGTGCAAGGGGAACTTTTTTGACTCAGGATCCAGGTTAGAAAGAAGTAGCAGTCCCACGTCCTCTGTCCTGATGTCATGCACGTGCTTCGTGACTGTCCCACACAAGGACGGGTTCTTCTGCTCTGTTCATGCAACCTCTCCGGAGTGTCAGCCTGGCCAGGGTTTGGACTGCACGCAGGGACAGGAGCTGGGGCAGCGGGGCACACACCAGGGGCTGCGTGCTGAGGCCTTCAGCACACTCTGCACACACGGTGACACGGGGTGGCCTGAGACAGAGACCCCGGAAGGGGCCCAAGGGCGCGGGCGTGCCGCCCCGGTGCCGGAGAGAGCACGGTCAGCACTCCTCATCATGGTGCCTAAGTACGCACTGTGCGTTTGCTTCTGACCCCGGGGCCAAGACCACCTGTGACCACAGGATCACTGTGCTGGCCCGCAGCACGCACTGTCACCAAGAAGCCATACTGAGCCACAGCCCACACTGTCCCTGCCCCCGTGGTACAAACGCCTCACAGAAACAGACACTTTAACATAAACAAGGAAGACAAACCCTTTTATAAAATATTTATTCTAAGAAAAAAAAAAAAAAATCACACTGTACAAATTTAGATAGAACACTCTCAATGCTCAGATTTATAAAAATGTGAACAGGACAAACACTGAAGGGGGAAACTTTCACCGCTGTTTTCTTTTTAAGTTAGGAAGGAACAAAAATGATTTTTCTTAGGTACAACGAGAGAAAGTGTCTAGAAGACATCCAAAGGGGCAGCAACGAAAGCACAAGATCTACTGCACCTCTCACGGGCTGGCCCTGCCCAGCGGAAAGCAGATCCAATGTGGATGAGGACGGCCTTCCCTGCGAGGCGACACAGCCTCCTAGGTGCACACCGAAGGTTCAGCAAGATTCCCAAAGCCAGCGACACGCAGCACAAGCGCTTGTGCTCACAGAAAGACCAGCCTGGGTGCTCCCGACTTCCGCTTCTCCAACACCGACTTCCGTACACTCGTCTGTACAAATGCACAGAAGCGTGGCGAGGGGTCATTTTTGGCAGAGTGAAAAAGGGACATCCAGAGTTGTTTCCTACAGTTCACTCTGTCCACTCACAGACAGAGGGAGAACCATAAAAAAGAATCCACGAAAAACCCCAGGCCAGAAACCCTGGTTCCTTAAAAAATCATTTTAAAAGGGTAGGGTAGGCTCAGCTCTGCCATCTTCAAGGGCCTCGCTGACATCCTGGGGCGGCTCCCTCCAACACTAAACTCACCCTCGTTCACACACAAACTACTGTAAAATAACTGCAGCCCTGCAAATCTGCAGGACTTCTGTAAATAAAAGTAACCAGGCAGAGAGCGGTCACAGAAGCCAGCAGCTCCTTCACATTCCGGGCGGGAGGCACTCGGGGTCACAGCCATGGGTGCCAGGCAGGGTCCATGCGGCACAGGTTGTCCAAACTGTTGGCAGCAGCCACGAGGGTGTTTACTTTGCTCTCCCCGCCTTCGAACTGGGCCAGGTTGTGCAGGCGGGTCATGATGGCGGTGACGGCTTTCTGGACCAGGGAGACCAGCTGCTGGCTGTCCATGTTCTCAGGCTGTCCAGCGGCCGAGAGAGGAGAGGAGGTATCCTCCTGCGTTTTCTTGTGCCAAGCAATGATCTCATCCCGGAGCACAGTTTTCAGAATGCCGTCCACCTGGGTGAAGGAGAAAATTAAAGGATTCGCATGTGACCAAGAACAGCCCAGGGGAGGAGCAGCTTCATGGCGAGACCCCCCGGGCCTCTCTAACCTCAGCAGCCCGGCTGGGCCATGCACCCAGCAGTCAGGTGGGAAAACTGGAGACTGTGTCGCCGCTTCTCCCAGGGGCAGGGCCCAAAGCCCATGTCCTGGCGGGACACGCCGTCACGCGGTGTCCGCGTGTGATGTGTCCTCTCTACCCAACACAGCTGAGCGAGTGCCTTCCCACGGTCAGCTAGGAGCGAATAAAACAGAGTCCATACTTTCTGCCTCACTACACCCCCGGAAGGCAGGGGCCGTCTCGCAGGGAACACGTCTGTCCCTCTATGCCAGGACCTGGTAAGGGGAAGCAAAAGCTGCTGGCGAGACCAACAGGTAGTGCTAACAGCTGGGGACATTATCCATTAGGGCATTTTAGATTCTTTCTTGTAAAGTGGATTCCTTCACATCTTGCTTCTCCCAGTGACCACCTCAGCATTTTGTCGCCTTGGTAGCAGGTGAGCCGGTCCTATAAAGCCAGTGTGTGCCGAGGAACGCGGGGCCCGTGCTTCCCAAGGGGTGGTACTGTGACCCACCTTGAAGTTGGGCTGGGCAAAGCACCGCGCGACAGCGATCATGGAGGCAGTGAGAGGGCCAGAGACACCGATGGTGGTCAGAAACTCAGAAATGTTGGGGGTGAGGCGGAAGGGAACAGGGCGGTTGGCGTCTAAGTCCCCGGTCGCGTCGTTTATATCAAATCGAAAGTAGGCGACATTCAGCTTGCCAGTGTCCTGCACGTCACAAGGGGACATATTAGGGATGTGCCAAGCAGGGTGGGGAAGGTCAGGGAGGGTCTGGCTGCTCACAGCAGTTACCTGAGCAATCTGTAACATCTCAGGGTTGAGTCTATTTAAATGCAAGACGAACTCTGCAAAGCCAATCAGCGCCAGCTGGATGGTGAACATCTTCCGGAAGGTCCAGTAGTCCGTGGCGTTGGGCAGCGTGTGCAGCGCCCACTCCTTCAGCATGCTGCGCGGCACCATGTTGCTCTGCACCTCCTTGAGAATGTCTCGAAGGACCTGAAACACATCATTCTGTGACTCTTCCAGCTGACCTTATTTTTTTCTACAAAGGGAACACTCTCAATTGCAAAATGACCTTCTCACATCAGTAAAGGAAATTTTGTTGCCGGGGAGAGGAGGGGAGCGGAAAGGAGGGAGAGGAGGGAAGAGAGCGAGACAAGGAATGAGCCAGTTGGTCCTGCCAAGAACTTTAGTGAGCTCGAGGGCAGGTCACCTGCCCTACCGCCACGTTCCCCGCAAAATCCGCACAGGTCTGAAGAGCTGATGGCCTCACGAGCAGGCTGGCTGGGAAAATCAGCAGCCTGACAGCTCCTAGTGGGCAGAATGGGTTTGGCGAGCCCCCCACCCTCACCCCCCAAAAACCTCATCCCAAATAGTGACAGTGTCACTACTGGACCCGTCCGGCGGTTCCTGCAAAGGGCGCCATTCACAAGGCTCATCTCGGACTGAACTCCAAGTTTATTCAGTGAGGACGTCACCTCCCATCAGGGACAAAGGTGCCTGAAGCAGTGATGCGGACTACAGCCAGGAGAGGAAAAGCTGGGAATGAGCTGTGTTCAACGGAATACTAGGAAACACAAAAGCAGCCAAGAGACGGGCAGAAAGTGAAGTCACGTGTATCAAGTCACTTGTGTCCAGAATATATAAAGAATTCTGAGAATTCACAATACAGAGACAAATCACCCAATTTAAAAATGGGGAAGGGCTTGTCTGTGCCAGTATTTCTCCAAAGAAAGAATATAGCCAGTAAGCGCAGACAGAGATACCTGACACCGCCAGTCATCAACACTGAGGCAGTCAGTACTTCACATCTACTAGGATGGTGCAATAAAAAGGTCACGGGACTGCTGGCAAGGACGTGCAGAACCCGTATCTACTGTGTCCACTTTGGAAAATACTTGGGCAGCTCATCAGAATGCTAGTTATCATGTGACCCAGCAACTCCACCCCTGGGTATATATTCAAGACCAAAACATCCTATCTCCACATCAGCATGTACACAAATATTCACAGCAGCATTCGTCCCAATAGAAAGTGTAAGTAACCCAGAAGTCCATCAACTGATGGGTAAACTGAACACGTATGTTACGGTGTGTGCCAAGACGTCCCCTTAAAGCCTCATGCAGTCATGGGGGTGGGGTGGGCTTCTCGTAAGTGGCTGAATCTAGAGTTTGTGACTGATTCACGGTCCAGGGCTGGGATCATGGGTGTGAATGCTAAGCCCACCTAGGGCAGGTAGCCTCCATACAATACAAGGGCCAGAGAGAGGCTTGTTCTCTCTCTCTCTCTCCGATAGCTTTTGCTGTCTTCTGCCACCATGAAGCGTTGCCCCTCTGCCATGCGCCATCCTGCCTTGGAGTCAGCGGATTACGGACTGAAACGTCTACAAACTGTGAACCAAATAAACCTTTCCCTCTTTGACTGTGGGTGTCAGGTATTTTGTCTCAGCAATGACAACAATAACTAAGATATGGCATAGTCAGTATTACTTGGCAATAATAAAGGATGAAGTACTGACACATGCTGCACAATGAATGAACCTTGAAAACATGACACTACGGGAAAGAAGCCAGACACCAAAGTTCACATATCGCATTCATGTTATGTTCGGAATAGGCAAATCCAGGGCCAGAATTGTCTGCAGTCATCAAGGGGCTGGAAATAGGAGTAGGGTTAGTAACTAAGGTTTTACAGATACACAGATGGGAGCCGGACGTGGTACTGCCTGCCCATGATCCCAGCATCTGGAAGCTGAGGCGGGAGGGCTGCAAGTTCAAGCCCAGCCTGGGCAACTCGGAATTATAGAGATCCTATCTCACAGTAAAAAAAACAGGAATGATGGTTGCATAACTCTGTGACTATACGAGAAATACTGAACTATATATACTTTGAGGGGGAACTGTACCTCACTAAAAGAGTAAAAAAACCGGGAAGATGAAGGAACAGAGTTAATAACAAAACGAACTAGATGGAGAGAGATGAGGACACAAGCTGGGATTGTTCTGTGTTGCTGCTGGTATCACTATTCCACAGGACCTGGGCAGTGTTTTTAAACTGGACCAAGGTCAATGTTTTCAAGCTGGACGCATGCTTGGTCAGTTACGCCTGCTGCTTATAAAATGGGGCTCTGACGTGAGCATGCATTTGCAGACAGAAGTCACCGGCTTAAATGGTCAAAGGCAAATCATAGCCTCGAAAATGTAATCCATTCCTTTCCCGTAAAGACCTCACAACTGCTCCTGGGCACAGAATAACCAGGCTGTGGGCTGTGCCACAAATTCCTAAGGGAGGTCACCAAAGACCCACAGTCAAAGAGGGAAAGGTTTATTTGGTTCAAAGTCTGGGCGGCCTTGGGCCCTGCCTGGGCCCTGCTGCGACATGAGACATGCACTGGTGGCCTCCATCATCCCAAAAAATCTAACTGTTCTAGACGGACTGTAACGAGCCCCTAAGCAGGACAGGGGGGTCACGGCTCCCAGCCGTGTGGCCTCTGGGCCATGTGGCACACGGCCAGAACAGTGGTCTCCTGGCGCTGCACAGAAGCGTGGACAAGCTCTTCTCAGCAATGGCAGGGGTCTGCAAACGGCGAGCAGGCCCACCGTCCCCGAGGGCTGCAGGTGATGGCTGGCCAGGACTCCTGAGGTCTGTGTGAAGCTCTTGCCCAAGGTAAGCCAGTCAACTAGGCGCGCCTGTATCTTCTGTTTTAGAAAATACGAGCGGCACAGACGTGTGCGCGTCCCGAGGCTCAAGAGCACCCTGGATGATGCGAGCATCAGGTGGGTCCAGAGACCACCAGCGGTCTGCGGCACCGCAGAGCACCGCTGGCTGCCACGCGAGCTGGCGGGAAACTGACTTTAAATTCTGATTTCTGAACTTCTTCGTAAGTACCAGGAGGGGACGTGAACTCACCAAGGTTAAGAACTTATCTTGGGCCGGTGATGAAAAGCCCACTGCAGCAAACGTGCCATCACTAAAGGCTCTGGTCACCTAACTTCCAGCACGTCACAGGGCTACTGAAGTTACTCTGGGGGAGGCAGGGACCCTCAGAGAAGGCACCCTTCCCCCCCCCCATACCTGGTGGCTGGCCTGGGTCCCCCGCGCCTGCACCGTGGCCAGCCGGTCGTAGTAACGGGAGATGGGGTTGTCGTGCTCGATGCCCTTCTTGGCACAGCGCTGCTTGTAGATCTCCACGAGGGAGAGTGACGAGGGGTTGTCCTCCACGAGGCGCATCTGTGGGGACACGGCCACAACCCTGGGAACTGCGGAGGAGAAATGGAGCAGGTTGAGGGAAAATAACCACAAGCTACTGCTTGGCTCCAGGCCCCTGGTAAGGGCTGGGAGCAGAGCTAACCTGGAATCCAGCCATGTGAGCAGAAGAAAAGTGTGCCGGGGCAATTCCACCCCACTTCCTGGGCACAGAGCACCAGGGACACTACGTGAATGACACTCACCCCGCGCTCAGAGATAGCCTTAAAAAATAAAGACACTGCCAAATGCTCGCTCTTCAGAGGCCTTCGCCCACCAGACTCAACAGAAGGATGCAGCCCTCCGGCTCTGAGGCACAGTGACCTCGCTAACTCGCCCTCTTGCTGCCTGGATGGCTGTGCTCCAGCTCTGCAGCAGAGAAGCGTTGCTCACACTGTTTCCGTAAGAACACAAAACCAGAGCGCATCCGACCGCCTGTAAATGTATCTCTATACACGGTGGCCACTGTCCAGCGTTTCAAATGCAATTTATCAGGCCACTGTTACGCAATGGCATGTATACCACGGCCACCTGCCTGAGCCCGCCAGAAGCAGCACAGCGGGAGTGCGTGGGGAGGGAGCGCCGCGTGTGCCGCTCCGGCCCCCGCATCCACACCCGCATCTGCATCCTGAGGCAGCCTCCCGAGTGAGGTTGCTTGGGGAAAGTTGGTCGACCACTGTGAACTTCTGTTTCTTCATCCAGAAAGGGGAGGACAGTAGCTACACAACAGGGTTGTTTGTGGGCTAGATGATTAAAGCAGTAGGTGACTGCTAAAGCGGAGGGGGCTGAGGGATCTCCAGAAGATGGCCTCAAAATCCAGCCTGCCCAGTGTGGGCTGCACAGAGCCTGCGCCAGTACTACTGAGGCCGTGGCAGAGAGAGTCAGGCAGTGGCGCCCCTGGGGGTGGGGTGCTGTTGGCAGGGGGCACACAGGGGACTCCTGACTTTTCTTTTTGAGACAGGGTCTCACTGTGCATCTCAGCCTGGCCTTGAACTAACTAGTTCAGGTAGTCCAGACTGGCCTCAAACTTCTAGTAATCTTCCTGCCTCAGCCTCCTGAGTGCTGGGACAACAGGAATGTGCTACCATACCTCGTAGGATGCTGACTTCTAAAGAGCAAAGGTGGCCAATTTAATCCAATGTCAGTTATGCCACAGCTGCTGGCTTGCCGCTCTGGCTTCAGTCTGTGAAAAGATCTCAAGAGGATGCCAAGGATGTACTTAAGACTGTCACTGAGAGATAACCAGATGTTTGGAAGATGGAAAGAATCCTCTTATCCACAGCTGGGATCAACACTATAGGCCGTGTTACCTGATGAAGTACACACAGCTTTTTATTATGTAAGCAAGCTTCCTTTAGACTGTTTTGAATTCACTTATTTTGATAGCTAACCAAAGGGTCAGATATTTTAGTCAAAATGGGTTGGACTACACCTCAGCCGTCAGAAGAAAGCCCCACCCAGAACTAGGCCATGAGCACCGCACAAGTTCTCCATCTTGGGGGTTATGAGCCAAAATGTGGGCAACTCAGTTATACGGACTGGGCTCACTGGTTGCTGCTGCTTAGCTCTTGCTGTCACCTGACCGTGTCTCTGGCCTTCCCGGGCTGCTAGGCTTTCCTAGACCTAGCGCTGCACTCCAGAAAGGCAGAGTCTGCAGCGCCATACACAGCACCCTGGGGCCAACATGAGGCTGAGACCTCACTGAAAACTGAAGTGCCACCAGCACACCAGGAAGCTCTTGGCTCAGCCAGGCCCACCAGGGCGGAGAGGTTCCTGGAGGACGCAAACAGGAGGCGCACGGGGGCGCCGCTTCTGCCAAGCATACACTCACTCGGCGAGATGGAAAGAACCAAGAGAGCCTCACGCTGAGCTCTCCTCCCCCAGTGAGCAGCCTGAGGCCAGGGAGCGACTCCTGGGCAAGAGCTGCGGCGTGAGGCTGGTCCTCCTCCTGAGCCCCCCTCTTCAATCTGGCACGAGCTGCTGTGCGCTCCAGGCGTGGCTCATGTACCTGTGAAAAACAAGTGCCTCTTGGTGGTTTCCTTCCTCTTCTCCAAGCAGGGATTCAGCAGGCGGAGCAGCTGCAGCACACGCTCCTCCCTCCGTGACTCTGTGAGGCAGGCGTCGTTCATGACGAGGTACGGGTAGATCTTGCCATTGTGCCCTCGGATATACAGCCTGCGGGCAGCTGTGTTGTGCTTCTGCACAATTTCCACCCTGGGCATGAACCTATTGAAGCAAGCAACCAGCAAGCATGAGCTCCAAGTCTCACTCTCTCTCCTTTCTTGAGAAGAATGCAATGTACAGGCAGGCTGTGCAGCTGAGCATCACCAATTTACCTAGACCCACCCTACTCCGAAAAGGCACAGAGATAAAGCAGTATTTTATAATGTAGCAGGCACTGGTGTGAGGCAGCCAGGAGGGTCAGCTGGCTCAGACATGATTTAGAAGAAAGGAAAACTGAGAACCGGGCACTTGGAAAAGCAGGCTACAAAGTGAGCTGAAGGCCAGCCTGAAGTGCAGAGCGAGACCCTGTCTCAAACAGGGAAGAAAAAAAAACAAAAAAACGGAAAAGCAGAGCACTATCTGATTTAGAAATAAGAACAAATGCACTGCCGTTGTTGAGGTAGGCCTCTTCGAAGTGCTGCAGATATCTCACAAGATGCAGCATGTGCTAGTAAACTCCGCAAATGTCCAACTGTGCCATGAATATTGTGACCCAAGAGTTGATAAAAGCCCGGGGACTTCATGTTGTATTAGGCTCCAGGGTGATTTGGAAAAGGTGCGTTGGAAAGCAAACCCAACATTTGCTCAGGGAGTCTAACCCGCAGGTCACAGGCCCTCTAGGGCCTCTAGAGCCCCCCGTTACGCACACTCTAGGACAGTTAATTCTCCCACTCTAGGAAACCAAGCCTGAAACACTGCCCAGAACCTACCCAGAACGCCCCAACACAGCCTGCTGGCCTCACTCACCTAGCGATCTTGATGTAATAATGTGTTGGCTTTGGCATTAGAAATTCTCCAGGAATTTCCACATCAGCTGTTTGTGCTGAGAAATTGCTCAAAAAACGACACTTTTCTTCTATGAGGAAGAATTTTGGAAGTTGCTTGGTTTTAGCCTCCAGGATTTTGATCCACTTTTTCAATTTAGAAATTAGATTATGAAGCTTCATGGATCCTGGAACACTGAAATCAAAATCTGTAAAACACAACACAATTAAAATGTTTGTAATCATATGGGCTATTTCTAATGCACCACAAAATCACCACTCAAGCATCCAGCAGCTATGACTTGGGCGTGTCCCACGCGTGGTGTGGAGCAGAACATCAAGTCTCTCGTGCTTCCCGGAGCACAGGTTACAGCCTGAAGCAGCGGGCGCCGCCGTCAGCGGGGGCCGCTCGCTCCTCTGTAGCGCAGGAGGAGGAAGAGAGATGAGCCCAACACAAAGCCCCAGGCCAGGCACAACAGCATCGCTTCAGAAGACCACAGGCCCCTCAGCAGAGACAGGAACTTGGGGACAGCCCGTGACTCCCAACGACAGCACAGGATTTGTGGCCCCAGTCACCCATCTCTGAGTACAAGCATTAACTACACCAAGGAATGAAGTTTCAAAGTCCAAGGCTAACAAGAGTACCCTACGGGAAGATGAAGGAGAAAATGGAAATACCGAGAAGGCCTCTGACAGTGACTTTATTAGAAGGAATGAAACAAGAAACCAAAATGACAAAAACAGAAGACATTGTCACTTGGGCCTTAAAAAAACCCCTGGTTAATGTAGTTCTCAGATTCTTCCTGAGACTCAATACTATAAATTAAATTAAACTTAAAAGTTCTTTTTAAACCCTCACTTTCCTTCCAGATTCTCAGCAGGGCTGGAAGACACCTCATCACTCTAACTCGCCAACGGTCAGTACTGTGAACTGGGATCCCAGGGGAGTCAGAAGGAGGCACTGTCCTGCTGCCAAGCATGGGTGATACGCCTGACGCCTCGCGCAGCGTGGGCTGTGTGACGACTGCAGATAGCTCCACGCGCCACCTCACCACAAGAGACACACATCTCTCCAGCACTGTCTGTCCAAGGGACTCTCAGGCAGTTTTCTGTACGTTCATCAGCTGGACAGACCCTCCCCTCCACTTAGCAAAGATGGCCTCTTACCCACCTGCCCTCCCTGGGGCAGCCGCATGGCTGGAGCTGATGATAAAAGAAAAGGACCAAGGGGCAAACAGCACCAGCTTAGCACGGAAAGCCGGCAAAGACCTGATGGGTGGGAGGGCCACACAGGCACCAGAGGATGGGCCATCCAAGCGCAGAACAAACCTGCCTCTACCTACCGAGTGTCACTTGTAACCCGAGAAAGAGCCAACTGGGCGCTCAGCACGCAAGTCCAGAAACAGCCCACCACGTTCTTCTTACAAAACAGCCCTTCAACAGACTGTACCAGCTGGTGCTGAACCCAGAAAAATAATCTAGATCAAAAGCCACAGAAGAATCAGGCTGTCAGACTTACTAGAAGATACGTCCCGCACACGCAACATACCGCATCTCACAGGCTCGCTGAACGGTGCCATGCGATTTGCTGTTACAGCGCATGCACCGTGAACTGCACCGGACGGTACCGCTCTAGTGCTTCACACACCTCACCGTCTCTCACATACGCAAGGCGAAGAGCACTAAGCGCCCCATCCAGCAGGGCCAGGCGCAGCCTGAGGCCTGGCTCTTCTAGGGGCCACTCGTCGCTGCCCCTGGATAAATGCACTGTGCAGTCAGGCCAGCTTATGAAAATCAGGGCATCTGCTTATGATTTTTCTCCCAGGGCATTTATCTGGTTTCCTTCGCTTTTTGCAGGGCGCAGGGTTGCTGAATGAACCCAGGACCTCAAGCATACTAAGGACACACCCTTCCACTGAGCTACCCTACCCGTCAATCCCTTACTTTCTTGTTTCTTTCATTTGAGAAACCGTCATCTCCCTCCTTTGAACTGCTCACAGCCACAACCTCATGGGAGCAGGTAGCCAGAGACATCAACACACCAGTGCAAGTGAGGGGAGACTCCCCCGGCACAGGGGTGCCAAGCCCACCCTCCGGACCGCAGGGAGCGTCGCACCTGGGGCTGCCCCTTCTCCACTGGACCTAGGTACTGCCCAGCTCCTGCCTGATCACTTCTTTAAGTTTTTAGAGTAACTACAGATTCACAGCAGTCTGCAAATAAACATGCAAGAAGCCCTGTGGAGGCTTAACCCGTGTCCTAAGCCAATGCCCTGTACAACCACAGCACGATGCAAAACCAAGAGTGACGCTGGCAGAGCCCACGGAGCTGAGAACGCATGGGTCAAGGCGCGCTCACGTGTTACCGCGCACAGTAAGTGCACTCTGCGCAGGCCGGTCTCGTGAGCGGGCTTGTGTAGCTGGCACCACCATCAGGATGCCCACCCCGACCGGCTCCAAGCTCCTGCTGTCAGCCCCTTACAGCCACACCCACCTCTTCCCCACCCCCAACATCTGGCCTACGTCACCGTTCCCAGTGTCTACAATTATTTCACGAATGTTTCACACGTAAGCATCACACAAAGCATCCTTTTGAGATTGGCTTTTTGCACGCAGCAACTGAGGCTCACCCAAGTTGCTGTGTACATGAGTAATTAACTCCTCACCGTGAGGATGGACGAACTGTACTTGGTTACTCCATTCAGAATGTTCTGAAGGTCGTTTCCCATTTGGGGCCATTATCAATAAAGCGGCTGTCAATGTTCACACACAAGTTCCTACATGCGCGGGTGCCTCTACCTCTGTGGGGTACATGTCAAGCGCTGTCTTGGAATTTTCATGCACCTCATTCCCTAACAGGGATCCCAGGGTTGAGACAAGAAAAGGGTCCCCTGGGAAGGGGTTCCAGCAGGGCGCACAGCTCTCGCCCTAAACATCTGCAGCTTGCTGCGCTCTGAGGGCTGAAAGCCTCATGACGTAACTGCTTTTGAGTTTCAGGTTTTACAGTTTTAACATCAAAATCCAGGTGCTTTGTCCCATTTCTAATTCTCCACTTCAAACTACATTTGATGCAATGATCTGACATTTTAAAAGAAAGATACAATGAGTATTATTTCTTTTAAGTAAAATAGGGTGGTTTCTATAAAATCTTCACCTCTGATGCTTCCTTTATCAGACAAGGGTGAGGGCACCACGTAAACTTCACAAGACAAAACCAAAGACAGTGAAAGCTCTCAGCACGAAAGGCAGGAGGACAGGGCTCGTGACCCACCTCCCACAGAGCCCTGTCCTCATGCAGGTTGGCTGTGTCAGCTCACACTTTTACAACAGCTCCCCCGAGCCCCGGCTGCCAGGAATGAGGACAGGCGAAGGCCGCTCCTTAGCAAGTCTCACAGTGAGTCTTGGCCCCAAGTGCCGAACAGCCTTCGTAAGTAATGGAATGCTTTCTACAGTTGCACACTACATACATGTTTATTTCTTACCGTACCCTCTTGTTTGTATTTGTTTACGGTACTGAAGATTGAGGCCAGGGCCTTCACAGTGAGACAGATCTTCAACCCTTTTTGTTTTTTATTTTGAGACAAAGTCTCACTAAGTTGTGAAGCTGCCCAGGCTGGGCTCAAACTTGTGATCCTCCTGCCTCAGCCTCCTAGAGTGCTGGGACTATAGCATGCACCATAGCAGGAGCTGGGGATGTAACTCAGTGGTACAGCTGTGGGTTCAATCCCCAGCACTACAAAATAGAAGAAAAAGGCTGGTTCATATACCTGAAAATCTAAAATTCTATGGTTAAACTTCTCAGTGAAGAATGTTTAAGACAGTTATAAAAGCAGTGATTAAGCAGAAGTGTCTCAGTTCTGAGAGACTGTACATGACAAGTCTTACTGTTACATAACCATCACTACCTGTAGGGCCGAAATGACTTGTCTGGGACTAGACTCTCCCAGGGCTCGTCCCAGGGCCTAGTACGTGCCCTTCGGGGAGAAGGCCCCAGGATAAGGGAGCCTGGGCTCATTGCCCTCGGCAGAGCTAACAACTGCACTCACCTAGGCAAAGAAAAGCGCCTCCACCTGCACAGTGACAGGTAATGGGAACATAATCTCCCTGGCACTCTGCCACCAGTCTGCTGCCACGTCTGTATCAAAGAGACACCTTGAGCCCTGCAACCATTCAATCCCAACACGTCACCTTCTAAGCGAGGGAGGGACCAATGGAAAGTAAGAGGGTCTGGCCTGAAAAGCTCCCACTTCCCAGCTCCTATCTCAGAGTTCCAAACCCCAGCCTTCAGGATGAAGAGAAGGCCTCAGGTGATGACCGCCACAGTTCCCAGTGCTCTGAGTCCCTACCTTAAACAGCCCCAGCACAGGCCCAGAACAGCGATGAGAAACATCAGTGGTATCACCAGCTTGGATGTACAAGGCCCAGGAAAAAGAGCTCTTCCCCAGGGACAGAAACAGCGACGCTCACCCGTTGTGAACTGGCCCTTCAGCTTCTGGAAGACGGGGTCCTGCGCCGTGGCCTGTGCTCGCCGGGCCAGAGACTCGGAGGCTGCACTGGAGAACATGGTCGAGACGTTGGACACGTTCTCCAGGCCCACTCCGAACGTGCTCACCAACTTCTTGACAAAGTTCAGGGTGTGGGGTGTGATTTTGGCATCAGACACCGCCCCACTTTTCTCAAAGGCAACAGAGTAACACTTTGCCAGGCCCTGTTGGAGTTGCCTGAGCACCTGGAGGAAGACAGAGCAGGGACGGTCACCCGAAGAGAGCAGGCAGCCAGTTCAGGGCATCTGTCACTCACGGCCCCTTGCCCCAGGGTTGTGCTGCGGCCACACGGCACTGAGGAGGTGTAAATCAGCGTGCGCAGAGGAGCAGCAATGCCGGTGCATGACCCTGCGAGCCCCTGACCGAAGCCTTGAACGCTCAGTGAAACAAAGGAGAAAACTACGTCTTCAAGACACACACACCCACCTGGTGATTCACCACAGACGTCTCCTTTTCATGCAGCCTGGATGCACCTGTCCACGTGTACACATGCAAGACCTGAGCACCGGTGACCAGCTGGCCTCGGGGCCCAACCAGACAAACTGCTGGGCAGCGAAGTATACGCGAGTTTGCCATCAGCTTAGGCACACAAGATTAAGCGGGTGGCCCAGCTGCTGGACAGACCCCGAGGAACAAAGTCCCACTCTGGAAGCTGTGACTGCACGTCACCTACGTCACTGCTCTCGCTCACACATGGCCGCCACCTGGTCAACCAGTGGCCCTTCAACAGCCGAGGGCACAGAAGTGGGCAAAATAAGCATTGTAACAGCAAGAAGAACTTCCTCAATTTCACCCTTTTCTTCTGAAGTCATCTGCTTCAAATATTTGAGGCTGTACTACTGTGCAGAAATTAACTACTTACCTGGTCTGTAGTTAAATTCAGCAGCAAACAAAAAATGATCAGGCAATTAAATATAAACAACGTGGCCGCGGAAGCATGCAGAACTCCGCCTTCTGCCCACAGGTAGCAGCAGGTACAGTCAGCCCCACATACCTCTTCATGCCAGTTCTCTCTGAACCAAACCATCTGATCAACGATGCCTTCCAGGGAAGACAGAAGGGTGGGGTGGAGCTCTCGCTGCATGTGCATGATTCGGCTGCAGCGCCACATGGGTGCTGTTGCTCTTATGGGCCCTGGATCTGATGCAGAATGGGACTGGTTACCCACTGAACTTGGCTGCTGCTGTCCAGAATCTGAGAGCAACACACACAACGCCAATGTCAGTGTAAAACCAACTGATGCTGAGCTCGGAGCTCTACGGGACCCACTGGCCAAAGGAACGCTGGTTCCTGCCGGTGTAGGGTTTGCCACAGGACCGTCTCCCCCAGGAGGCCGCGGAGAATGCGCTGGCTCTAAGGGCAGCTGTGCCCGCCGGCTGAGGGACAAAAGTGAGCGCGCGGAGCGCCGAGGCGGACGTGACCGCAGCCTGCCTAGCATGCTGCGCGGAGGATGTGCTCCGCACGTTCACTTCTGCCTTTGCTGCACGTTTGAAAGTTTTAAAGAAAATGTTTAGAAAAGTATTTCATAGCGTGTTCCTCATACTGAAGTTCAAAGCATCTACAAGTAATTAATAAGCGACTCTCCATTTTTCCTCCAAGAAAAGCAAACCGCATTTGTAAAATGTTTTCAAAAAAGACACTTATTTTCTCTATGACAAACACACACTCTTCCTCCCCCGTTCTCTGGCTTTCGCTTACTATACTTAGACTTGAAATTAAAAAAATCTTATTTCAAATGACCAAGACAGGGAGCTGAAAGGTGCTGCGTGCTGTTCCCGCACCCCACCTCATCTTATTAACCTGCAGCACAGCCAATCTGGCGTGTGAAGCCTGTGAAACAACGTTCCTGAAATGGCCGACCAAGTCCCATGCTCAGCAGTACCTGATACCCTTCATTAGGTTCTTCCTTTATACAGGAAGGCTGTTCAATATAGATTAAAAGCGTTCTATTCTGAATTAATTTTTCCAAATAGCTGGCAAGACTGCAGACTCCGCTGACAGATGAAGAGATCCCTGTAACCCTGAACAATGCACAGGCACACAGTAGTGGACTTTCGCACTGTCTTCTAGGGTTCCCTTATTACTAAGGAGAAGGTGAATTTTACAATTCTCTATAGTTAAAATCTTCACAGATTTGTTTTCTGCCTGTGAATCAGTCACTCAGATGAACACCCCACCACACTGTGGCAGAGAGGAACCACACCCTTCACTCAGAGATCAGGCTTTGTCCTCTGGCCCCTCCATAGAGAAGAGCCTGGCCACATGTAAGCAGGGAGCTGTGGCGGGTGTGTCTGCAGTCCTGGAGACAAGGGACACCCACGCAATGAGTCCCTCAGCTCCTAGTCAGCCAGGCCCACCCGGAACGTACCGCTCTTGTAGCGCTCCCGCTGCTCTATCTTCAGGGTCAGGTATAGAGTCCGGATGGGAAAGTAGACTGCTTGGGGATACACACGTCCAACCTGCTCGGAGACAGGAAATCACATACAGCATTGCTCTGCACTATGCTATCTAGATGAAGACAATTTCTACTCAAAATAATTGATACTAAGCTGAAAATGGGTTTCTGGTCTGCACTTGGACCAAGAAAGAAAATAACTGCATGATCTAACCCACAAGGCTGGGTTAAGCAAGAGATGAGATTTCCTGTTTAGCTTTAAAAGACGTAAGACAGATCCACACTTGCACTTAATTCCGTCCAGATCAACCACATGTTCATCTCATTCAGTAAAAGTAAGGAAGACAAAACACACAAGTTCCTGGTCCTCCAAGTATTACACAGATGATGCCCCTGAGTGCCAGCACATTCCAAATCACACGGTTGCTGTACTACTCATTCAAGAAATTATGTGATTCTATACACACAAACACGAAGGTTCTACGTATGCCACAGTATCTAAACATCTACTATTTTGGTTCTTTATCTCAGTCTTTTCAGAGAGGGATATTCTGGAACCATTCTCAAAGATGGTTACATAAGAACACTCTACGGGTCTATGGGACTGGGACTTATCCAATTCCAGATCTTGCCAAAAAACTGCTGGTGTCTTACAGGTGCAGCTCAACTGCACCAAGGCTGATGGCCACAAGGAAGTAACAGTCCCAAGGGCACGTGAAAAGCTCCTGGCAGAGGAGAGGAAATCAGATGAGAAATGCCAACCAGACAGTAACTTCACGAGACCGCCAGCAATCTTCCATTTAATACAAGTTTGTTTTATCACATGTGGGAAGACATTCAAGCAAAGAAATTACAATTTCACAACAGTGCAAGGCTTTATCAGCTACCTCATCTCAACCCTGAGTATTCTTCATAACTTTCTGTGTTTTATAATAGATAATATCTAAAAATGTACATCTTGAGCTATTTTCAATACCTTGAGTATTCAAATTTAACTTTCTGGAAGAACGCAAAACAGAGACAAAATTATTTTGTAACAGAGACGTCTTGTGATGCCCACCTGGCTAATGAGGTTCAGAAGCAACTTGCCCTCAGAGCCAACCAGGCAGGTGAGCAGCTGCGGAATCCAGGCCAGCCACTGGATGGGCGGCACGCCGATGCAGTACTTGTCAACGGCATCTGCCAACGTGTTTTTGTCATCATCAAAACTCAAAAGCCACAGCACCTAGCAGAGAGGAAAAGTTCTACAGTTGAAAGTCAATTCTGAGGCTTTCAAAGAAGTGGCTTTTTATGCAACTTAAAAGTGCCACATGAGCAGGGAGGGCATGGTGACATACTGCCTATAAACCCAGCTACTCTGCTGGCTATGGGGGAAAATATCTACTGTAGGGCCAATTTATTGCCAAACTTAACATATAAACGTTACAGTTAAATAAAACCTACAATTTGAATACAGTTTTTTTCTTGATTTAACTGTAATGACAATTACCAACTGATCCAGTCCACCAGCTGGCTGTGACCTGTGGCTCCGAGAAAGCAACAGGCAAGTGGCCTAGAGCGTACATGGATGACCTGCTCACATGCGTGACCTCATCAAACAGCAGACTGTTGCTACAATCGCAAGTCATCATCACCCTAGCGCCAGGGAAATCGTGCTACAGCACGGAGCCCACGGGCACCTGAAACACTCGTATCTAGAGACAGACAACTGCAGGGTCGGATCCAGGTAGCGTTTCCGTCAGTAGGTTGGGCTGGCTTTCACTTCCATGTACACTGCTGACGTACGTTCCAAATGCTGATGTTAAGACTTTAACGGATAACACAGGAAGGACAGAACAATTTATTCCTAAATTTTCTACAAGAATTAAGAGGCATGATAAAAAATAAATGTTTGAACTTTTGAAAACGTATTACGTGGGCCGGGGATATAGCTCAGTGCGACAGCGCCTGCCTAGCAAGCACAAGGTCCTGAGTTCGATTTCTGGTACCAAAAAAAAAAAAAAAAGGGCAATTTATGGTAATGTATCTGTTACTATAATACTTTGAGAATCCTTCCCCTTCCTTTGAACACACTCATTCTATGCTTCTTGTCACTTTGTGAAGCAATTCTAAAAAATCCTTTTTCAAGTCTTTAGTTGCATTGTCATGGATGCCTCAATGTCCTGAATCAATTCAACACATTTATCTTTTATGGTCATTTTGATTTTGGAGATGAGCTATGAGTCACATAGTGTCCCACTGAGTGACCAGGGTGAATGAAGACCCACTTTTCTTAAGGAGCCTGTCTTTCTGCTGGATTGCACTAGCTAGCAAGATTCACTGTATTTTTGATCAGTCAGGACATTCACAAAAGAGGACTTTCAGAACTGCTTCAGAAAGAGGTAAGAATAATGGGATAAGAATGTACAAAACGGAAAGGGAAGAAAGAAGGATTAAGATTTGATATGTGTTATGTACCACTTCCCCACGCTGAGTGTATTCATTATGTATCTCAAACAAGTACCAATTAAAAAAAAAAGTAAAAAATAAATGTTGAAAGCAAGAGAGAATATTTTGAGGGAGATTAATGGCAGTCTGTCTGATATTGTAACAAATTTTTAAAAATTTAAACATTTAAGTTAAAATGTTTTAAAAATTTAAAAATTTAACATTTAAGTTAAACTTAAAAATTTAAACATTCACTATACTTCAACCATGCCAGGTATTTCTGGGTTTTATTTATCTGCTAACAAGGGAAGAAAGAAAGCAATCTGAAGAAATCTCCATCTTGAGAGTTACACCGGGGGCAAGCCTACGCCTACCACCCGCTCCATGCTCAGCAGTACGCGGGGGGCACTGCATGGAAGGAGGTCACCAACAGCCATCAAGAGGGCGCCAGGCCTGTGACTACGGGTGCCGAGGAAGCGCAGCCTCGCTCCAGCCCCTGCTGCCGAGGAGTGCAGTTCAGGGTGTGACGCCAGACAGCATGCGACACAGAGGCCTAAGACAGACTCTAGGCAAGGCTCTGCCCAGGTCTCGGTTTTTTCAGCTTTAAGCTGGAACTTTGAAGAGTTCCAGGTTAAAGAGTGATGGGAATTTATACAATAAGGCAGGAAATCTGGCCTCACATGCTGTGCAGATTAGTGAATTGTAGGTAGGTCTTAATCTAAACACAGGGATGGGCTTTTATTAAAACTCATTCTTTTGGCCTCACCTTTGCCAAGTATTTTCTCGATTTGCTTTCATTCTGATGCCGACACGCATGCAGGTAACAGGTAATAGCAGACACCCCAAGATGCAGCTGCCGCTCCTTCACGAAGATGTTCTCCAGGTAGTCGCCCCACATGGCCCAGGCTTTCACCAGCACGTCATGCATCTGCACAGCTGCCGAAAAGGCTTTGTTTGCTTCCTCTGACCTGTGGGGAGCACACAACATGAAACTGACCATTCAAAGTGAACATTTCGTGGTACTGAAAACATTTATGCTGATGTACGACTGCCTCCTAAGCAGTTACTTTGATCCCGCCCCAACTTCAAGACTCTGCTGACCACTAACCTGTTGCCTCTCCAGGTTTATCTATTTCGCATATTTCCTATCCATCAAATCATACAACCTAGGATCTTGAGTTTGGCGTCTTCCACTTAGCATAGTGTTTCTGAGGTTCATCCATGTTGGAGCATGTGTTAGAACTTGTTTCTCTTCTATAAGTGAATAATATTCCATTACATGTAAAGACTATATTTTGTTTATCTACTTGTGTTGCTTCCACATTTGAGTCGGGCTATCATGACTAGTACTGATGTAAACACTCTTGAATGAGTCTCATTTCCATTCTTTTGGATATACACCAACGCATGGAATTGCTGAGTTACATGGTGATTCTACATTTACTTTTATGTGAAGCTGTCAGTCACAAAAGGCCACATATTGTATAAGTCTATTTATATGAAATGTTCAGAATAGGCAGACCCACAGGGCAGAAAATAGATTGATGGATGCTAAGAGAAAAGGGGAAGGAGAAAGGAGTGACTGCTAATAAATATGGGGTTTCTTTTTTGGGATGACAGAAATGTTCTAAAACCAGCTATTGGTGATGGCTGTACATTATAAATAGCCTAAGTCACTGAACTATACACTTTCTTTTTTTTTTTTTTTTTTTTTTTTTTTTTTTTTTTTCTCCGGTACCGGGAACCGAACTCACGACCTTGCGCTTGCCAGGCAAGCGCTTTTTGCCGCTGAGCTAAATCCCCAGCCCCTGAACTATACACTTTCAAAGCATATATTTTTTTTGTCTTAGGAGTGTATAAAGCACTCTCAAAAAAGACAAGATGTTTCTATCTTGGCAAAATTTACTTTTTTCAAAAATAAGCAAAAAAATGCAACCCCTATATTTTCACTGAAAATGTGAAAAGTGGGTATGAGAGCCTGTGAGTGGCAACTGGCACCTCACCAGCGGCTTCCTTCTCCAAAACAGGGTTTGGCAATCTTCGCTAACTGGTGGCAAATGGCTCAGGTTTGAAGACTGCGTAATTTCTACCACGACTGTGGTTACAGGGTGAAAGTAGTGACGGATGATGTCAGTGAGCACAGACATGCTCTAATACCACTTCTTTTCCGAAAACCAGAGCTCGGCTGCATTTGGCTACAGTTTACTGACTTAACCCACGGAGGAAACAAGTCTACTCCAATAAGGCAGGTGAGAAGTAGGGTGCTGGGAATCCATGACACCTACAGTCCTATCATCAGCATCTTTATGAACTTGTTAATACCACATATCAGGCAGGCTATCACTCTGTTCCAAGTTACTCTGTGCAGAAGTACAATACTAAGAAATCACACCAATAACCATCACGAAACCACATCTCTTTCTAGCTTGAGATTTCCAATGGCTTCCAGTTCCAACTATTTAAATAATCCAGTGGGTGCTTTTCTATTACCTGCTTTCAATATAACATACATACTTGTTGATCTGAGCCAAGAACATTCCTTTCAGGGCATAAAATTCAGCTGTCATCTCTTTTGTGAAGTACTTCAAATTTGTAGATTCAATAACCTCAAGGCCCTGTTTAAAGACAAAGAAATGAGTAGAAAATTACTGAAATTTCCACGTAACATAAAAACTTCGCAAAGACAATAAACACTGTAAGCTACTGACAAATGTGCTTTAACGTGAATATCTGCTGACTGATAGGCACTGTCTCAACTGAGTCACTGGAGGTCAAACAATCTTAGATGCAGATTATTTCCTGCTACTCTTCATATGACTAGTCAGATTCACTTTTCTAACCTATTTTTATGAATATAGTCCAAATCTACCTGTCTCACATGCTACAATCTTTCTTTCCTTGAACGTGTTAACCATGGTGTCACTCAAATAATCGAGCGGCTTCCCTTTTCATTTCCTGTTGAGGAAGGACTTCCCCAACACTAAGACCGTGTGTATGAAGTTCCAACCCTCCTTCTGTATCACGTGACCCAGAGCCCGCTAGTGCACTCTCCTTCTCCACTGGTCTCTGTGTGCAGGAGGGGACTGTGGTGGCCCATTAGGCCCTACCTGCATGCATTCGTTTTTGCCCATCACTCCTGCCAGCTGGAGGTAGCATTTAACTTGCTGTCGAATCTTCTGGAAGCAATCCACGATGGGAACGGTTGGGATGGTGTGAATACGACTTAATATATCCAGTGCGACATTGACCAGTCCTTGTTTCCGGGCGATTTTCCCATACTGGATGATTGCTGAAGCTGATGCATGAACCCCGAGCATAGCGTTATTTGAGCTTGGATCGTGCTGAGAGCTATTTTCATAAGCAGTTACAATGGCTAGAGGGTAAGGAAATGAGTTATTAGTCCATGTCATGTTTTTACTCCACAATAAGGCTTCAATAAAAACTGGAAAACACATACATGGCTTATGAAAACAGGAAGCTCTGTGATAAACCCTCGTCACTTTTCTTTGTACTTTACAAGTATGCCACAAGTAAGTTATAAAATGTGCAAACTACACAGTGGAGCATGACTGACTTAGCTAAGTAAACAACGAGGTCACAAAGGTTGTCCTAAACACATAGATGCCCAGCAGGTTTAGGGGATGAGCCATGGGACTAAGAACACCAGAAACAGCTACACAGAGCCATCGAGAACAGCTGCTACTGGGCAGGACCTTCGAGGCAGAGTGCTACCATCTGGTGCCCCATCCCACTAGTGAGGCACTCAGTGTCCGGAACAATTCTCTTCTAATCAAAAAATGTAAGGAGTGGGGGATGACTTCGCAACATCCTTCCCACTTCATCTTTTTCCCTCAGCAGTATCACCTCAACCTACCATATCTAACCCAAAACAGAACATCTGGGAAAAGGAAAAAATAAAACAAAACAAAGACATGAAACCAGCACAGCGGGGCATCTGGAAAATTACATGATGAATGCATGCCGGACCAGGTCGGTTTACCCTGGTAATGGTGCTGCCTCCACATGAAGATGCTGCTCCAGTGGGACAGGTCGTCAGACACGATGGGCAGCCGGTTCCTCCAGGTCTTCACCACCGTCTTCATGTCATGGAGGCTGTTGTTCCTCCCCAGGTTGGTCGGCTGTAAACCTGCATTGATTTGTGCCGCTTCCTGAAGTTCAATGATTTGCTGGGCTGCCTGATGGGACCAGCATAAGAGATTCCACGTTTCAGGAACAATGCAGGAGAAAACAAACCAGTCAACCAGCAACTGAACTGCTGTAAATATCTTATGATACAATTACCAAGGCAGCAATCTATACAGGTACCTTAGACTCCACCTTTAATGTACCCTTCACACCATGCACTAACTGCTCAAGATTCTCCCAGTGTGAACACCTCAGCTTATGGTTCATGTGAGCTATGGGACTGGGAGCCAATGGCACAGAACTAACCCTTGCTAATGGGCACTCCTAAACTACTCCTTTTTCTCTGATGTATTCCTGAGAAACTTGAAGGCCACACACACCCCCTCCTTTTGAAAGTGAAATAAAAAATTTAACATAGGTCCTCGACCACTGATTTCACAGCAGGTAGAAGGACTCAGCAAACTCAGAGGTAGACCAAATTGATGTTATATAGTCGAAGGAACAGAAAGAAAACACAGTGGAGAAAAATAGGGGCCTGTGGGATGCCATCACGCTGACCAGCACACTCAATGATTGCCACAGAGGAGTGAGGTGAAAGAGAAAGAATATTTGAAGAAATAATGGCCCCAAATAGCTCAAATTTGATGAAATTATTTGGAAAACATGTAATTTTTGTTCTTCAAAGGATGACATCAAGTAAGAAAATGTACAGAATGGGAGAGCATATGTGTAAATCTAATAAGGAACTTTCACCCAAAATATATAAAGAACTCTTATGAATGGGTAATAAAGACAATGCAACTTAACAGCGGACAAAAGATCTGGCCATTTCCCCCCAAAATGTGTATAAACCACCAGTGCTAAACATTAGGGAAACACAGCTCAAAAACACTGTTTGTTTATTTATTTTGAGGCAGGGTCTCGCCATGTAGTTAAGGCTTGCCTCCAACTCACTATGTTACTCAGGCTGGCCTCCAACTCTCAATCCTCCTGCTTCAGCTTCCCAAGGGCTGGGATTACAGGTGTGCGCCACTGTTTTTTGAGCTAGGGTCTTGCTGTAATACACCTACACTCTCACATTCACGGCAGTATTATTCACAGTAGGTGTTTTACAGTGTGCCACAGTTCTCCTTCCATTCATCTTTTGATGGACACAAGCTGATTTCATACCTGGCTACTGTGAACACTGTTGATAATATTTCACTTATATGTGGATGTTAAAAAAGCCAAATTCATAGAAATAGACTAAAACACTGGTCACCAGAGGCTGAGGGAGAACAGTGTGGAGGGGCGAAGGGAAAGGTTAATAGAATGAAAATTGGTAAGTTTTAGTTAGAAGGAATAAGCTTTAGTGATTTACTGCAGCTAATGATAACTATAACAAATGATGCATGCAAGAATTTTTCACCTCCAAAAAGTTTTAAATATGTAAGGTAATCAATTTGCTAATTTATGTAACCAACGTATTAGTATAAACACACACATACACAAAAGCACAATGCACTTCATAAATGTATACAATTATTTGTCAATTCAAAAAAGTCGTAGCCAGACGTGGTGGCACAAGCCTAGGGTCCCAGCAAGTCAGGAGGCTGAGGCAGGCAGATCACTTGAGCCCCTGTGTTTGACGCCAGCCTAGGTAACGTGGTGAGATTCCCATTGCAAAAAATAGTAGAGTAATTATCAAGGGCTGGGGATGTAGCTCAGTGGTGCAGCACCTGCCTGGCAAGTGTAAGGCCCTGAGTTTGATTCCTGGTACAAAAAAAAAGTACTTATCAAAACAATCAAAATGAAGTGCTATTATAGCTTACTAAATGCATTTTTACGGGTACTGTCTGTTTTCTGTAAATTTCTTAGTTATAATGCTGGTTAGTAGTGCAGTTGAGAGGTAGGAATTATTGCTTTAAATGGAGTCAATTTGTTCATAAACAACTAATTTATAGATTATCAACTACGAGAAAGCATTGAAAGAGAAATAAAACTGCCTTTAGCTATACCTCTAAAATACCAAATCACAATTGTATGTGAAATATTTAATGTTTCAGACTTGAAATACACTGCACAATAATTCCCCGTTATTTAGTCATAATTAATTCTTATTATTCGCACTTGATTTTCTTGCACTAACACATTTACTAGCTCTTAAATATAATCTTCCTTCTATTTTCATACAAAAATAACTTTCCCAACAGCTACAGGAATAGGCAGCCCACCTTTACACTTTTAGAGGATACAGTCTACACCTAAGAAAAAGCTTTAGAATATTTTAATACCCTGGACTACAGCTACAACGTATTTGCAAAATACATGTGACTTTAGGGTATGCCTTCAGGAAAAGCAAAACCATCAGAACAAAATTTTCTCAACAAACTGCTGATCCACTGTGAAGAAGACTGCTGGATCAGAGTATATTAATAAGCAACTACACTGCTATGGTATGAATATGGCTTGTCCTTTCTAAAACTCATGCTGATTTAATCTCTGACAAATTAAAGGTATTAAGAGGATAGAAACTTAATCCAACTATGAGGTTTTGAGATGGGCCTTTGAGAGATGACTGGGATTGGCTGGGGTCATCAGGGTGGATCCCCATGACTGAATCCTGCTGGCTATGTAAGACAGACTAGAGCAAGCAAACACACACACACACACACACACACACACACACACACACACACACTCACACGCTGTCTCTTACTATCTGATGCTCTGTATCACCGAGGGACTCTACCAGCTAGAAGCACATCATGAAATGTGCCCAGTGTGAGGTACTATATTATTAACAAAAACCAGGCTAAGATATATACACTGCAATTTACATCTCAAAACTACTTTTTCAATAGAAATACAAGTGTGACCATGCAGAATCACTACCATAGTGTCCGCCCACAGTTTCACTCAGGCCTAGCACTGGTGGCCGCTCTGTACTGCACACCAGAGATAAAACAGGGACACAGGCTGGCACAGCCCCGGAGACGCACACATGGAGTCTGAGCAGTGGATGTCTTAAAATCTGAGCAGCTGAAGAGTGGCTGGTGTGGCTGGAATGAACTGTCAGAATCAGTGCAGATGGTGCAGAAGTTAGAGCAAGGGCCATTAAATAGCAGCATTAAGAGGCTTGAAGTTGGGACCTTTTGGACTAAACAGTGGCATCACACTGCTGATGGTACAGTCGGCTCCAAAGACAACCTCTAAACTAAGCAAAACTCAGAACCATCAAAAGCACTTGTGAGAATGTTTTCAGTTACCAGGACCTTAAATCCTCCAAAATTTCCAAAACTGAGAAGCAACGTTTTTTTCCCACTCCGTATTTTGACTCTGATGATTTTAATTTTTTTTTTTCTGTCTTTTTGAGACAGTGTTTCACCATATAGTTCAGGGTGACCTCGAACTCGCTTTTAGCCTAGGCTGATATTGAACTCAAAGCAATCCTCCTGCTCAGCCTCCTGAGTGCTGGGATTATAGGCAGGCGCCACCACGTCTGGCTGACGATGAATTTAAACGGAAAAAGAACAGGACCAGGGGAAGAGTTTCCTCTACTGTCCAGCTGAGTCCATGGACCCTGCCCAGACTCGAGCTGCTGGGCTGCTGGGTGCTGAGGCTGTGCTCAGGTCAGGGAGCTGCACCTACCTGCAGAAGGGGCGTGTGCACATGGGACACTACGTGGGGCAGCCGCCGCCACTCACGGATGGCCAGGCTGCTGGCCATTTCCACCAGGCGCTCGATGAAGCTAAGCTGCTGCTCTTCAGGGTGGCAGATGGCCAGGTATCCGCGGTACATGTTGACCTTCCACGCCATCTCTTTTGGGCAACTTACTTCTACCTGCAGTGAGAGATTGCATAGGAAGTGATGGGCATTCTTTCCTCACCATAAAAGGTCAAACATGAAAAAGTTCAATTTCTTATGGGCAAATATATAAAGCAATAAACAAATTGTATGACTATAGGTACAAACTTACTTTCTTTAGAGAAGTCATGTGTTTATTTTAGACTGTCTTTTCTGGACACTCTCCACTGGTGAATTCTAGCATGTGGCCAACCCGTCTAGCTACAAAAGCACATCACATAAGCAGCTATAAAAGCTGCCCGGAGGGAAAGCAGGAATCGTACCCCTGTGCCCACTCCCCATTACGCACTAGAATCCTCACGAAGTTTCGTTTAAAACAAACATGTGTAACTGAAACTAAGTTAACTAGTCAGCCTTACTCACATTACACATTTATCAATTCTACCAATGTAACAGATTCTGAACATGACACTATTTAATTCAACAAATTCTGACGGGCATCAGCAAATGCGCCAGGCCCTGGCTATTCTGGCTCATCCTCTCTGTTACTCAGTTCCAGTGTTTGTAATAACACTATCAATTCTGACCTTCCAGATTTGTCTAAGTATTCCCTTTATCCTCGGGGTCTAAGGTCTCCATGCCTGGCATTCCTAACTGTAACTGAATGATGCTACTTTATAATTTCACTCAAATTTAGAGGCAGCATTAGAAAAAGCAGAAGGAACGCTTCTGTCCCCAGAGCTGTCTCTCAACTCAAAAATGCTCAGCTATGTCTAAGGAGAAATCTCCAAGAGACACAGAGCTCCTCCTGTGAGCCAGGCAGCCCAGTCTCCACTGACAGACCAGGAGCAGGAGGTCTCTCACCTGCACCAGCGCCTCCTTCATGGCAGTCCAGTTGGACACCCTCCAGGCACATTCCAGGACGAGGTAGGGGTTTATGTGACCTTTGGACTGGCCGTACTCTGTCAAGGCCTCCCACTGGTTCAGCTCCTTGGAGCACCTGGAAGACCCAGGGTGGAGAGCAGGGCTTAGACAACAGCATCTGCCGGGCTTGAGAAGGCGAGGTTAGGGTTTGAGGTGGTGATCCTCACTACAGAGGGAAAGCATGCCGCAGGGGAGACTGCTACGGGAGGCCCGGTGGGCTTCACTGCGAGTGAACCACTTACCCCTCCTTGGTTACTAAAAACTGCATACCGTGCACCCAGAAGCCCAGAGCCAAGAGGCAGCAAAAATGAGTGTTTCTCCATTAACAAGATTTTTTTTTTTTCCCATTAGCAAGATTTTAAACGCTATTCTTAGATTTTTGCTTGTTCTTTACATGGGCCTCTGTTATGAGGACGTCTCCTATTTTTTCCTCGGTTCCTTTAACTGATTCTGAAGTATGCCAATTCCTGTGTTCAGCTTACCGAATCCAGTGGTCTTCCCAGAGCTGGTATTCGGGAAAAATGGCCGGGGATGCATTACTCCTCTCATGTTCTTTTTTGGCTTTATCCATTGCCTTTTCATAGGATTCTTGGGCCTAAAAAATGAGTAATGCTTTTAAGCCACTTTTTAACCAGGAACACAATTTTTTCATGGCCAGTGCTCAAGTGTGAGGGGCCAGCTGAGTCACAGACTGGGAGTGTTGGAATTCTGAGACTACCTGATGCTCTCAAATCACAGAAGAGGAGAAAGTAGGAGGAGGTAGTGTGAACCCACACAGAGTGCAAGGGGGTGATGCCACCCAGTCCTGGGAGTAATTTTCTGTTTTTTAGAGATCAAGAGCCATGAGGCTATGCTTATGTCTTCTGAGTTTCTGTATCTTAGTGTCCTCACCTCGCCGAGATGCAGGCTCTCACTGTGGCCCACACCACAGTGGAAGGCAAATCTGAGGATGAAAATGTAAGCACTAAAAGCAATCTACTTACTATTTCCATAGGACCAGTGACAGTAGATAGAAAGCACCCACGTCAGCATCTAATGCTAGAAGATTTAGGACTGTATTTCAAACAGTTCATGATATATAGATAGCTAGCTAGATAGACAGGTTTCTCTTAAATTGAGACTTCCAGCACAGGGCCTTTATATTATAGGATTTAAGTGCTTCAAATAAAACAGTAAACTGCTTAGTCATACATGAACTCTTGATTTGAGGACATGACATTAACGAATCCACAAAAATGTCTCTCATCACCACGCAGCCAAGCGTGCCACCAAACAGTGCCTACCTGCTCAAAGAATCCGTGCTGCTCATATGCAATAGCGGTCGCCGTCTCTGAATATTTGCACCGCTTCTGCCACAAACCGGCCCACATGTCTTCCTCTTGTAACAGGGAGTAAAGCTCGGCAAGGGAGTCCAGTATCTCCTGAGAACAGAACACGGTTCCCTCTATTATAATTTAAAGTCACCTGGGAGATGTGCCTACTGAACGCACGACACCACTGGCCAGAGGTAATTCAGGCGAGTGCTCACCTGCTGAGGGGGTGTTATGCTCTCCTGCTCATAGAACTCTGTTGTTTGCTTTGGCTTAATCTGCAGGCTCAGACCCTTTTCAAAGGCCTGGTGCTCCAGCATCAATGTGGAGCGGAACCAGAGGTTGTGGGTCTTCCCGAGGTACTTCAGAACACAGGGTCTGATGGGGATCGGGGGGACACACTGGGACATGGCCTCCACGAAGCAGTTCAGCGCACTGGGCTGACAGTCCCGCTGCACCTGGTGACTGCCACTGCACAGGAATGGGCTTATCTCACCTGCCAGGGCCTGGAACCAGAGAACACGCTGACTTAGGCCTTCGCTCAAAACCCCACAAGGCTTTACTATCTCATAGCTAGGACTATTTTTGATAATTCAGTCTTAGACAACACTTAGTAGTTCCTTCATCCTCAAACTTAAGACTGTTCTTTCACAAATGCTTATCAAGAACTAAAAGCACATTTTTTTTCCTAATAGGATTTCAAAAACATACTTACATGCTGCTGTCTATCAGAGAGGATTTTCCACAATCTGGGGAAAAGCTGGACCCAGGTTTTCTCTGCCAGTGTCGTGGAGATATGGCACAGCTGAACGAAGGCACTGAGCAGTGCTCCAGTCTGGGGACAGAAAAGGATGAGCTCAGGCGGCCGCAGCCTGTGCAGCCCACAACCACGCTCGGGAGACACCAGCCATGGAGAGAATGCCAAGGCAAATGGTTAGTTAGGATCCACGTGGGGACCGTCACCCACAGAAGCCCTCTGGGTTGGGGACATGGACCCATGGTCCTTCTTTCTGGCAGCAATAGCAGGAGGGACAGGGTCTACTACGGTGCCTGGTCTACGTGATGACAGCATGTCATTTACATATTTAAGGATGCTTGCTTCCTGCTCAAGCATTTTGTGCTTATTCAAAATGACAATGGTATCATTCAGATCCAAATTCAAAGACTGATTTAAAGCACAAATTCAGGATTAGCCACCAAAAAATTTTAATGTACAAATTGTTTGTGATAAGTAGTTTATTCATGACTTTTCTTCACGTTGGCCCTGGTAAGAACAGAGTAATAATAACTGTTTCTATGTGATATTCTTCCAAAGTGACTTGTGGTATGGAGACTTAACTGATCCATTCAAGAGTTATTACAGAAAATGATGACACCCACAGAGGGTTTTCAGAAGCCAGAGTTTCTACCTGGCTAAGTTTCAAACGCAGAGGCATTCATTCAGACATCCTCACCCACACAGTAAACTTGATTTACTATGGCAACTTGTCCTCATTTTCTTCTCTTTTGTTACACTTAAAAAATAACCCAGCATTATATCTCATTGTACACTTTTAGTAAACAATTTTGCTGCTTTAAGACATTAACTGCTCTCTCAAATCTTAAAACTGTAAAATAGTTTCACTTGTGATAGAAAAGACATTTAAGTGTACCTAGTAAAAGAAAAACATACACTAGTGTGGAATAATCCTGACTTAGGATTCAAAATATTCAGATGGGGGTGTGCAGAAAACGACACACCTACCCTTCCAAACTTGCATACAGACCTTCACTTCACGAAGAGTGTCAAGAAACTTGTCGTGTCTGTTGGTTAACATATGCAGCTGGTTTCCAATGTCCTTTTCAGAAAGTTCCTTGGTTTTGGGTGTGCTGGTCTGATCTCCAGGAGCTAGTTCAATATCTATCTCAACATCCTAAGTAAGCAAAGCCAAAAGGTCAAAGAGTTAAAAGAAACTCCAACAAACTCAACTCTTATAAACTATTACAGTTTTGGCAAGTAAAATTTTTTTCAAAGGAAGAAGATTTTCTGTGTATAGGAAATCCCCTTCCCCTTCCCCTCTGCTGGGGAACCGTCTTCCCAAAAGCCAACAACTGGGGCTGGGGATTTAGCTCAGCGGCAAAGCGCCTGCCTGACAAGCGCAAGGTCATGAGTTCGGTTCCCGGTACCGGAGAAAAACCAAAAAAAAAAAAAAAAAAAAAAGCCAACAACTAAAAGAAATACTGCCTAAAGCTTTGGCCAATACAAGATCCTTCTGAATTTTAGGAAAATCTTGTTGAACTTAAGACACTACACTCAGAGTTTTCAGAAGGAAACTAAAGTTGATACACCGCTCTTGCCAATATGTAACTCTCGATCAGGAATGGGAATACTCTGCTTGTAGAACCCAAAGGTTTACCTCCTCCTTGGACTCGCTGTTCTCTCGCTCCCGAGGCTCCTGCTTGACATGTGTGACCATAGCGAAGGCGGCGCGGTCATGGCTGTCAGCCAGGTTGATGACATTGGTTATGGATGGAAGGATGGCTCCCTGGCAGCTGGTACCAATGGGAGTGCTCTTCTCACACACGGCCAGGAGCAGCTAGAAAGGGGTGTAGAAGACACAGGCCTAAAGCACCGGGGATGTGCACAGAAGGTAAGACCCAGTCATCTCAACAGGTGTGTACACAGAGATGACCTGCTCAGTGCTAACTGCTCTTGAGGTTAGACAGGTCCAGACCTCCCTTCCAGCTGACCTTAGCTCAGGTTCCTCTGGTTCTGCAAGTTCGGTGTAGCTAAGCCTCTTTCCCCCTCCTCTGACTCTCAGAGGCATCTCCCAGCTCAGAAACCAGGGGAGACATTTGCTTCCCTACTTTCGCTCTACATTTCTCTCACTGCTTCTGTCACATACCCATGTCCTGCTGATGTCACCTCCTACCCAGACAGAGCCTCTACTTCATCTCCAGACCCACTTTTTCAACCCTTCACTTTCCACACAGCTGGCCTCATTACTTCCCTCCCTACATGTACCAAAGCTTCCCTCAGCCTCAGGGGACAATAAAAGCTCCTCAAGGAGATGCAGAGACCTCCTGTGAGGTGCTGTAACTCCCTCCTGCTTGGAGCACACCTGTTCCCTACACGGTACCCCTACCCAGAGCACAGGGTCTCTGGTCCCACTGCTCCTGACCAAACCACTCGTCAACCTAAATACTACCTGAGCACCAGCACGTGCTTTGGAGACCCTGGACATGCATTTGTCAGCGTGTCAGAGGAAGGGCATCCCTGGACACGCTCACTGTGCTAATGCAGCCAAAGAACAGCAGGGCTGCCAGAAAATAAAAGCGCTTGAGACGCAAGAGTGCGGTGTGTTCTGTAACATGGAAGCCCAAGGACACAAAATCTCAGGTAGACAGCAGGAATATGTTTTGTAGAGATCTACTGCTCGGCAAGGTGAATGGTTACTAACTACGTATGGCACACAGTTACAGTACTATTACAAAATTGTCTTCAATTCTCTAAATGCTGTCACCACAGAAAATGTTACATGTTTAAAGTGACAGATATGTTAACTTAATTTCTTCACATTATATTCACACATGGTAACATCACTTTGTACCCCATCGATATATAAAATTACAAACTGTCAATTGACAATTTTTAAAGAAAGCATCAAAAATAAATTGTGGCACATGCCTAACGATCCCACCACTTCAGAGGTTCACTGAGGAGCATCACTGTAAGCCTGAGGCCAATCTGGGCTATGCAGTGAGATCCTGTCTCAGAAAAAACCCAAACGTATAACATGACAATGAGCTTGATAGGAGGCCACTAGAGAGGAAAAGGAAGAGAGACAGGATGGGGCTGACAGGGGAGGCAAGAATGCAATCACTGGGCCCGCAAGGCTTAACCCGGAGGCCGGGTTTTGTGTAAGTCTAGGGCAGGGAGTCATGTGATCTGCTTTAAACAATTGTGTAGCAATGGGGGAAACAGTGGTAGACAGGAGGGGAGGTCGCTGAACAAGGACAAAGCCACTCCCTTTGTGCTTGGGAAATGGAAGGATGATACTGGCTGCAGACTGGCTTTCAACTGGTAACTCCAGCGGATGACCAGCTACATGGGGACGAAGGACAGAAGGAACAAGGATCTTGGCTTGAGCCCTTTGTCTAATCGATTCACATGTAGCTGCTACAAAATCTCATTCCATACTGCACCTGGCACTGACACAACCATTCAGCACGAACAGAAACACAGTAATACAGTAATAAGCTCTTCCTGAGACCTAATCCCATAGTTCATTTCCTTTGCATTAGTGAGAACTTTACCTTCTGCCTCAGTTGTCTGCAAGTGGTAACCTGGTTTCGTTCATCTTAGGTAAGCACTGGTAGCCTGCTATTGGAAACCCAAGTTGCCTCAAGTCTGAAGCTGAACAAGCCAAAGAATGAAGGACAGTTCATTCAAGGAACCAGCACACAAGAAATCTCACTAGTTTTGCCAGCTGCATATTGAACATCCGACTGACCTGCCACTGAAATGCCAATCCTGCTCTAGGTCTGAACCTGGAACATCCTGTATTCCCAGCATCTATCTCGCTGCACTAAGGATCCAAAACCAACAGCACTGTCAGGTTGCCCTATCTTCATACTTTAAGAACTCACAATCACAACACATGGCTAAAAATTCCACAGCACGTAAACAGAATTTTAAAACACTTATATTTCAGAGAAATGAATCTTTGTTTACAAACTAAGAAATATCATTGGCTTTTTTTGATAAATGGTTTAAATAAATCAACCAAACCTTTCACGATAAACAGCTGACCTTAAATCCTTATTACTTCCTAGAGAGTAACAGCAGGTTCAGCTAGGTGTGGTGGTTAATGCCTGTAATCCAGCACTCAGGAGGCTGAGGCAGAAGGATTACACCAAGTTTCAGGCCAGCTAGGCTATACAGTGAGTTCAAGACCAGCCCAAATACACAGTGAGACTATCTCAAAAACCAAAACAGAACAGCAAGCTATGCTAGAGATTTCTAATTTGCTTTAGTGTAAGTGAACACTTCCTGGCTTCCACGCCACTCAGAAAACCCACGCTGCCCCACCCCAGCCACTGAGGGTGAGCTGAGTCCATCCTACCTCAATGCACTGCTTGATCCAAAAGTGGTTCCCCATGGCCTCCCAATTCTGGGAACAGGTCACATATAGCAGGCGCTCATACACCCGGCGCTTCATAGAGTTGTCAAAAACTTCAAAGAACTTTGCCCTGATGAGTGGCTGGGCACAACGCAGCCCTGAGAGAAAGGCAGGCTCAAGCTTCGCAGTCAGCTCACTGCCAGACAGGGCCTCATCCCTGGAATCAGAGGAGTCACACCAAGACATAAGAGTGGACCAGACAATGGCTGCTCAAGCTGTGAGCAAACAAGCAGAGAACGGGTAGACACTGGTTCTCGGAAATGCCACTACTGTGGCCAAAGCTCCATTATCAGTTGTGGCAGGCTGAAGCAACACTGCAGCCAAAGGCTCAAGGATGATGCCAAAATGGTTGCGTGATTTAGTATTTAAATGATTACTTTTAACTTATGTGTAAGTAAAAGACTAAAGTTACACTGTGCAGGCTGGTTAGAAACATGATGGGTCAACGTATGCAACATTTGATTAACTGCTGTAATTACCTGTAGACATAGTTCACAAGGTCTAAAAACTGGGCATTTAACTCAAGGTCTTCTGGGAAACGTTTTTCTATGTAGGTCATCATTTTCACAAGCAAAATAGACTTCTCCCGCAGTGTAGGTGTCTGTACGAAATTTGTATGGTAAAATAAAAGGTTCATTACTTGCATTTGAGAAAAGATACATTTACAAGTATTTCAGCCATCTGCACTACTACTTTTGAAATTTCTGCCATTTTATCAATTACAGTACGGCAAAATTATTTCTAAATAGAAAACAAAGATGACCTCAGTTATCTCTGCATACTTAAAATCAAGACATGCTGATAGAGTTTTAAAAGAGGCGATGATTCACTTTGAAGAAAAAGTAACTGAACTGTAAAACAAATCAGAAGTTTGTGAGCATCTCATTAAGTTGAATAATAGTCCATTATTATTACCGTACTATTATTACTCTTTAGCTTATATCTAACCACCATAAAAAAAGAGTAAAGGGTCACTTAACATTTTAACACAAGCCACAATAACATGAATAACTGGTCAACCTCAAGTTTCCATGTATTACTGTTAAGTGCACTGAGCAAATTACATCATAATCAAAGATACTGAGGGTGCAAATAAAAAAAAAATGCCTCAAGAAGATTCAGAAGAGCAAGGTGATGCTTGAATTTTCCCCTGCATTCAAAGGAGGGGTATTTTGGGCAGAGAATAGTGCTCCTCCCAGCTCACCTGATTGGCTGCCATGGGAGAATTATTCTTAACCCATTCTTCTACAATTTTCACCACGGCCCGCAGGATCTTGGCATCTGGGGACTTCTCAATGAGGGACGTCAGAATAGCTTGGATGAAGTTCTTGCGCATCTCCATGCTCATCACAGCCAGCCGTGTCTTCACCAGTTCCAGACTCAGCATCACCAGCTCACTTGTTCCTGTTCACATGGAAACAGAGAACACATTCCAACAAATCTCTACAGATCCTGCAAGGGCCACCACCAATCATTACTTGGCATGCTAGGTTCTGGCCATTTTCCCTCCAAATCTTGTCTCTAGTAACCAGAGCTCTGGGATTTAAAGGACTCATCACTTTCTTACTGCTGCACTTTCTGAGAGTGGCCCTCTTACAAGCTCTGCCCACAAGCAAGGGGGAGGACAGAACTGGTGGGGCCCACGCAGGCCGCCCCAACTTCTCCACACCCCTTCCTGACACCACAGTCACAGCACACTTAGGTCCTCAGGTACATCCAGCGGCCAGGCCAACCATGGCCCCCTGCTGACTGCCGATCCATCACCCAGGTTCCCACAGCCCATGGCTATCTTCTGGAACCTGTGGCTTAATTCTCCAGAAAGGGCAGCTCGGAATAAGCAGTCTCTTTTCTACAGAAATCTATTAATCCTCACTTAGTGGTAAAGGTTTCACATAAGGGTGCGACCATTTTAAAAACTTTTTTATTCTTATACCCACAAAGTTTAAAAGCAGATTTTTATAATGATCCTTGTTTTGATTTTAAACCTCTGTTATAGAGTAATTGGAACAAATTCCACATGAACAACAGGACTTCACGTTAATCCACATTCAGAGCTCAATCACATAGCCCGTTTTGCTCAGGTATTCAATGGAGACTGGGGAAACACAGGATCAAGTTGTCACCTGCTGTTGCTTCTGTGCTCCCAGATGCTGCCTGTGGATTGAGATGCTCTCGGACCATCTTCTGCAGGGAGCGCATAAAAACGGAGATGAGCCTGTCAATGTAGCTTGGGTTGTTGCTACAGGCTGACTTGAGGATCATCAGGGTTCCTGCAATGGAAAAATTACATTAGTTTTACAAAGTAAAGTAAAAGAGCACAAAACTGGCACACACCTATAATCCCAGCACTCAGAAGGCTGATGCAGGAGAATCACTATGAGTTCAAGGCCAGCCTCAATTACATAGCAAGACTGTCTCAAAGAGCAAAAAAAACAAAAAACGAAGCGCTGATGAAAAAATACTGATCTCAATGCCCACATTGTGAGCTTCCCAGGTACATACTCCACTGTGAAGTGCTGTGTTTTCACTGCAATCTCCATACCATCGTGCTACAAGTGACTTCTTCGGCTCTGAGTTTTATGTTTAGGTTTTGACAAACCACCCTCTGTAATACAGTACGACATGGTTGGAAAGTCAAAAAAAGCTTTCTTTCTCACTACCCTAGCTAGACGTAACAAACACTGTAGAATTTAATTTGCACTTTGTTCTGAAAGCATGTATCAGTTAAAATCAGCAAAGCCAACACTAGAACATGAACAATGAGTATAATCTGTCTTTCATAACTGATGTTTTTCTAATGATCTTGACCCCAACTTAAATATTAATTTTGAATCTGTATTCATGGATGACACCATAGACTAAAGAGTGTCTGCCATTTATAGAAGCCAACGTCCCAGGCTGGGACAACTTAAAGCTTGCCTTGTTAAATGGCCAGCTCTCAATACAGCAGTCAGTGCATGGCCTATCTGACTCTTTAGACGGGTATCCATGATATTGGTGATGTCTGTGAGGCATATCAGATGGGCTCTGACATTCCCAGGTACTGGTGCTACAGATGCCAGAGACAGAGGCTGGTCTATCTCAAGGAAGAGACTAGTGTGGCCAATTCTCCAAGTCTACCTCACCCCAGCCTGTCACCCACTCAGAGGAGGAAGCAGGGCTGCAGGGCTCAGGAAGGTCATCTCGTCCCAGGTTCTTTGGAGAATAAATGAGATGTTCACCTATTCTGTGATGGGAGCCAGGATCTACAGATGACCCCACTAAGAGTCACAAATGCTCTCCTCACTCTCAATATGTGCCTGGTTCCAAAAATAAAGCAGCACGTGTGGTGGCATACACCTGTAGTCCCAGCACTTGGGAAGCTGAGGCAGGAAGTTCAAGGCCAGCTTAGAACACACAGTGAATTCATGATCAGCCTGAAATACACACTAAGACCTTGTTTCAAAAAAAAAGAGTAAGTTTGTACAGCAAAGGATTAAACCAAATTTATCTGGCTCCTAAATTCCAGAGAGTGAAGATCCAGAGTTTAGAAAGTAAAACATATGCAAAAATAACAGATTATAAATTCAGACATAAGCATTTACACAATGAACTATCTGCAGACATATGTATGCAAAAAAGACACTCCAAAATGTTAACACTGACCATACATGGGTGGAGAAGCTTACAGTGACATGTATTAGTATTCCTTCATTTAGATTTGCAATGTTCTACACAATGACTATGTAATAAAGAAAAAAACATGGTACCCCAAAGTCTAACACTATTTCAGCACACGAGTGACAAAAAAGCAGAGTTTCTAGCCGTCCTGATCCTAGGTATCTGGGAATCAAAGCTACCCAGCTGCCCTGAATACCTTTTGTTTCATCTGGGGCAGCCAGAGCCACATCAATGTGACAGGGTCAAGTGGGAGGGGCTTGCTGGCCAGATGGAGGCTTTGTGGGCGACGGGCAAGACACAGGCTCCTGCGTAACCCATCAGCTCGAAGTTTCCCCCAACAACCTGAGCCCTTCCCAGATGCCATGTCCAGGGAGAAGGGATTGGTGCCCAAGTAAACCACTGCTGAGACAATCAGACACACACTCACCAAAGAGCTGGGAGGGATTTGCACTGGTGGCTTTCTCGTAGTTGGTGAGGCCTTCATAGATGACCTTCCCCACGGCTGCATAGAGGCACTCCAGCTCTTCGTACTTAGAGGCCACACTTGAAGTACCTGAAATGGAAGTTGACTGAGGTTGGGGCTGGGGCTGGGGCTCTTGGGCTGGCACTTGCAGACTCACAGTCTGATTGTTTTGGTGCCTGCAGCGACTGGCACGGGCACTTCTCTTTCACTGCAGGGCAGGGTCGCCTCTCTCTGCACTGGTCCACCTTACGCAGGTAAGCTCTGACCTCACCAGCCTTACCAGAGGCGCTCTAATACATTTATTTACAACATGGGAAACTCTGACCTTGCCAACAAGATACTTTAATCTAAGTCCCTTTTAGTGCCTAAGGAAATAGTTGTGTCCAGCAGATAAAGAACTAAATTTCCAAAGCAGAGAGAAAACAATGCCATGCCGTTAGAACATCTGTCCACTTTCTTTCTTTTTAAAACAAGGACAATAAAAGGAAAGGGGCACGATGAAATGCTCAAGCAGAAGATGAGCACCCTCAACACTAAACATGCCCACCCATCCCCTGGGAAAGGCACTGCTAGGAAGCCACCTACTAGGCTCTGTTGGGAAGATACTCATGAGGCGGGAGAGGAGGCTGTGGACGGCTCGCAGCACCTTGGTGTTTCCACAGGTCATACAGGCAGCAATACCACGCTGCAGGGGTTTGAAGCTACTGAGGATGGCCGGGGACTGGAGTACAGTTAGCAAGAAACTCAGCACTTCTAATCCCGTGCAAATATTCCCATAGTTCACTTGATTTGGCTGCTCCTGGGGTGAAAGAAGAAAGCATTCACAGATAGAACAAGCACTGGCAACAGTGAATTACAGAAACACAAATCCATCAATATTTAAAGCTATGCACCACCAAGTTTTTGGAAACTAAGTAGAACACAGCTAAGGAATAAACGCATCATACCCATCAGAGCATGTCACCACCACATGTAACAGCAACTCATGTGTTGTTTATAAATTTGCTTTAAATATTTAGCTAAATCTCTTTCTAAAAGGCCCATTCAAATATAAATGTTCAATATGAAATAAAACCAATATTTTAAACTTGCTTCCTGTTTAGAAAAGAAGTGCTGGTCACTGCTAGCATTCGTTTCTTTTTCAGAGATTAAGAATTACTGTATTTTATAAATGGAAATAGCACTACTAAAAACAGTGTCATAAAGAAAATGTCTTTTGCTTTCAAAGATTATTGACATACAGTACAGGAGCGATGGGAAAATCAAAATAGAAGTGAGATATTTTGTGGTAAACTTTGAAGGTAAAGTTAGAACTACAATCCACAAGTAAACTCAGAGTAAACACTGTAGCCATAAGCTAGGTTTTCAAGCTAGAAATATTCTTGGGGCGAATGGAAAATGAGTTAAATCACTGAAAACTGGGCTAAAAAAGCAAATTTACTACAATGATTTTTTTTTTCCGGGTACTGGGAATCGAACTCATGACCTTGCACTTGCCAGGCAGGCGCTGTGCTACTGAGCTAAATCCCCAGCCCCATACTACAATGAATTTTACTTCTCTTCTCCCACTTTTAAACTGAAAGTGCCAAAATCCCTACAAAGAGAAATATCTTTCAAACTATTACTGAATCAATCTACAGATGATGACAGTATTAAAAATAAATAAATGCTAGAATATATACAAAACAAAGAGTATGGTTTATGTCAAGGTGAGCGACTGCTTTATGACATTGAGTGTCTGTGGCCTTGAGTATGCACTGTGCGTATGCACACAGATCACAGGACTAAGGGCAGGAAGCCCCCTGGAACACAGCATCTGGCTTTATGAATACACCAGCCAATGAAGTGGCAGAGACTGCCCGCTACAACTGAGCACTCAACAATGACTGCATGAAGTACCTTAGTACTTCACAGACAAAGAGGAAGAAACATCTAGAAGCTACGCACTCTGCTAGAATCACAGCACATGCCATAGTCTCGGGGCTCTTTATAGTGCTGATTCATATACAGAACCACATTTTATGACTTTTCAAAACATCTAAGCAACCACATTAGTCTTCACAGTCCAAAACAAGAAGTGCCCATGGTGGCACATGCCTGTGTTCCCAGGAGGCTGAGGAAGGAGAATTGCTCCAAGTTCGAGGCCAATCTGGGCTACACAGTGAGTTCAAGACCAGCCTCGAATACATAGCAAAACCCCATCTCAAAAAAACAAAACAAAACAAAAAAATAAGTGCCTACAGTATGTTTTGTAATTCCAAGAGTAAAATCTTTCAAATTATATCATACTATGATAGACAGATAGAACCTATACCAACAATGAAATGGCTAAGGCAGGGCAACAGCTTTTGCTACCACTAGAAAAATATAGGCTCATGGTTTTCAGAAAAACAAGATAACCAAGCAATTGCCCCAAATGCTAATTACCTGACTAAGCCCCTGAATCCAATACAGTCCTCGATAATTAATTATAAGTTCATCATTAAAATCTGCCTTTAAAATTCAAGCTTTACCCCTCTCTGTCATCTCTGCACCGGGAGCAGCTCTCCTGCCACGGTCCCTCATCCCCTGAAAATGTACCCATGCTCCAGACTGTCTCTACCCCGTCCTTGGTCAGGAGCACCTCCCAGCTGCTCAGTCAGCCACTATCTGCAGTAGTGTTGAACAGAAAAACACACTGGCAGAGGAGAGCCTTGGCAGCTTTGTGATCCCTTGTCCCGACCTCACTGACAGAAGAGAGCCTCGGCAGCTTTGTGATCCCTCATCCCCTGACCTCACTTGTCCCTAGCCGCAGCCTCCACACCAGCATCATTTCAAGAGACATCGACACAGCAGCCAAGTCCATTGGAGCTGGGGCTGCCACAGCTGGGGTGGCTGGCTCTGCGGCTGGGGTTGGGACTGTGTTTGGAAGCCTCATCGTAGGTTATGCCGGGAACCCTTCTCGGAGGCCACAGGGCTGCTCTGCCTGACGGTGGCCTTTCTCATCCTCTTCACTATAAAGGAGCCGTCTCCACCTCGCGTAGTTCTTTCTCCCATGTCTTGTCTGCCCTATACGTTCCTTCCCATATACTTCCCTGGGCTGCCCGGGGAAAGTGACTGGCTCAAGGTTTGACAGGGAAGATAAATAAACATTGTATTAATAAGGTGAAAAAAAATTTTTAAATAAAAAGTAAAAAAAATAAAATTCAAGTTTTATTCTTAAAGTTGGGGCATAAATCAACTAAAAACGTTCTTCCCAAGGCAAATGGTCAGTTTAAAACATGCATCTAACAATGCAACGCAACTATTAAGTTTTAAACATCCTAAAATGTATTTGCAACTGGAGGTTGAAGTTTCAAAACTACATTCAGAGTGTAAATAAGGACCAAAATGTGTAATAGATGTTGTGAAACAGGAAGAAAATGTTCAAATGGGAAGGGGAACTAGGGAGCAGGGACGGAGAAAAGAGGGGGAAAAGAAAAAAACGAGAAACGAAGGAAAAAAATGGAAACAGCTTTTGTAAAGGAGAAGAGGTGTTGAAGGGAGGGGAGGGAAATGGAAAAAAAAAGATCAAATTATATCACATAGAAGTACAAATTCCCTAGGATGAAAGTGATAATTATACACACCTAAAATGTACCCAAAAACTTAATTTAGAAAAAAACCCACTACATTCAGCGCTTCAAACTGGCCATCCTTACAAGCAGCCAGAAGAAAAATGGAAGAGGTCACTGACCCACAGCTGGGGGTTGTGTCAGGCCCAGAAGGGATCCACAAATGTCCCAGGTGACAGCCTCAGGGACCCCATCCCAGCCTAACAGACCTGTGTACCTACCACAGTCATCAGCAGCTTGTCGAACCACTGCAGCTTGAGTTCCGACTTGGACCACATATCTGGTCTTAACGCGGTCTTTAGCAGGTTGACACAGCGGCGAGACAGCACATCCCCAGGGGACCCCGCAGTGTTGGTGTTGTCGTTAACCTACAAACGCATTCAAATTACAGTCAGCACCTGTGTCTACAGTCAGGATACGAGTGACACTTTCCTGACCATGCTTGTGCCCTCGCATCCAGTCTCTCCAGTTCATGGCCACCTTCTCTAGCCTGACCTCCCTCTACTGGCTCACAGGCCCCCATAGCTCCGCTGCTTGCACAATGGACTGCCCACAGCCATTTGTGTGCTCCTCCTGTGGGGCTACCAGCACAAGGTCCCACAGAGGGCACGAACACAAGGAGTTGTTTACTTCTCTCCAGTACTTGGAAATTCTCAGCTCTAGGAAATTCTCAACAGTACTGCAAGACACACTGTTTTATTTAACAGTTATAAGTACGTGAGATTCTCCCAAAAGAAAATTATAAAAATTTCATACACAATGGTTTTTGAAACATAAAAATGGAACAGTTTCAGAAATGGATTTCCAGCCATGAACGATAAATCCATTCAAATTTATCAAAATGGAGTTTAAAGGCCCTCAAATTGCTGTATGTTACACTATGTACTGTTCTCAATTTAATGGCACAGAAATATTGGGAGGAAGGAGTAGCAAGGAGAGAATAAAGTGGGAAGAAAAAGGTACTGAAAATTATTAAGTGCTTGCTTTGGCAGCACATATACTAAAATTGGAAAATTATCAAAATACAATATATGTGCCAGTTTCTCAAAATAAATGTAATTATTATTAGTACAAACATATACTAAATAAATAAATAAAAACTGGGAAGTTAAATAGTTGCCCAAGAAAATTAGAACTATCACATGTCACCCACACTAAGATGTTGTTAACCAAAAGACACATTATTATTAGCAGTAAAAGAACAAATATTTTACTTTTTTGGGTTTTTAAGACAGGATCTCATTATATAGCCCAGACTGACCTCAAACTCACAGCAATCCTCCTGCCTCAGCCTCCTGAGTACTGCGACTACAGGCATGTGACACCACACCTATCTTTGCTTTGGTTTCTAAATCACACCAATTTTAAGACACACATTGGAAAATTTCAGAAATATTAACCTGCCATGAAATCATTGGAACCTGGCAAGAAAGAGACATAACTGCTCTCTGACCTGGTCTGTTTCTTTTTGACTCATATGTCAGGGACAACATTCTGCAGTATCACTGAGTAGTCACTGTTCTATAGTCCAGTACCTGACAAGCCACTCGGATGAGAAAGTTCACCACGGTGTCTGTGTGCTGCTTGTCAATGGGCTTGGCAAGAAGAGTGTCAGCTCCGGGTAGCGACTGGCTCCTCCCGAAAACCTAAAAAGGGCCTGTCTTTTAAGGCGCGAAGGGCTTTCTCCCCAACAGCTGTCATCCCAGGGTGCTGACAAGTTCAGCCAGCTGGTACATGTGTGGAACCTCCCAGGGAGACAGTGGTATGGGCATGGGGGACAGGGACAAATGTAGCCTCTGCCCTTGCAGGTGAGTGGACAACTAACATACAAAATGGCAACAAGAAAGTAATGGCTTCTGTGACAGAATGAGACAGACCAGCATGAGAGAGACACAGTGTCCTAGCAAGCAAAAGGTAGGGTGACTGAGAAAAGCCAGCCAGGTAGAAGAGAAAGGACTGGTGGATAGGTCTTCAGCAAGCAGAGAACGTGGTATATTTACAGAGTGGAGGAAAGGCCTGGGAGGCCAGGGCCCCGTATGGAGATACCTGGGGAATAGTGATACCAACAGGGCCTGAGGACTCTGGTTGAGGAGAGGGAATTTTTTAAAAACTTAGTTCTCAACGAGACTCCCAAGAAATTACAGAGGTTCCACAGACCTGCTACCCAGTTTCCCGACTTTGGTTTGAAAAGAAAGCTTTTGGTCTTGACTGCTTTGCTGAAGTGAGATGAAAACAGAAACAGCACAAGAATCTGGGAGTAAGTTTCAGGACTCTCATCAGGAGAGGTGACAGAGGCTTAGACCACGGCAGGGTGGGGAAAGGGATGGAGGCCACAAGTATGGGGAGAAGGGAATGGACAGTACAAACGGGTCCAGGTTCCCACCCAGAACCTGGGTGCAACAGAGCCACCTCAGATGGTGCGACAGTGAGCGCAGGAACATGAAGCTGCAAGTGGGTGGCCAAGCAAGTGCTGATAAGCCAAGCCATGATGCCAGACGAGTAGAGTTGACGGCCCTCTGGGCTTCCACCTCGACAAAGGGTGAAGATCGAGATGCCCAGGACCTCCTCCATGGCTGCCCTCCAACCAAAGGCAGTGCCTCTTTAAAAATAATAAAACTGATGCTACAGAAGCATGTTCTTACTGTGAGGAGAGTCCCCACCATTTGCTTTACTGGGAATGAATCCAGTGCTTCGTGCATGCTAGGTAAGCATTTCACCACTGAGCCACAATTCCAGCTCTGTTTCTTTTGATGCCTTTCCATAAGTGATTAGCCAGTACTAAAAAAAAAACCAAAAACCTCTTAAGAAAAACTGTTTCAAAATGTGGGAAATGCCCTGGGTAAGTCAAATACCCTGGGTTGTTCCTGGCTGCCCTCCTAGATGCAGCGTAATACATGTCAAAATTCCACGATGCATGGCGCTGTAGGGAAAGCATGTCCTCTTACTGCACTGATGGCTCCGGTGGCTGTCCTGAAGCGCTTCACCTCCTGGGCAGAATCCACAGATAGGCCTCTCTTGATAGAGGACGAGACAGAATTGACTCCTTCTCCACTGGAATTTGGGTCCATATCGGAATCCGGCTTAAACACACACACACCTCAACTTACTGACTGATTTCCAAGGAGTAGCACAGGGAACACAAGCAGAGGTGACACTGAGGGGTGACAGGCCTACCTGCTGGTCCTTAATTCTCTGTAATTCCCACTTGATGACGACTTCAGAAAGGTCCACAGCCAGCCGCCTCTGCTCGATGGTGACACTGGGTGTGAAGCCCAGTCTCTGCATGGCACTGACCATATGCTGAACCAGGTGGTGCCGCACGGGATAATACACCTGTGGGCACAGTGCCAGTGTCACCCTGCCATCTGTACACATGCTCATCTGACCCAACCTCTTCCTCGAGGACTCTGAGTCAACACTCTGCAAGGAAATTCCATTCCCCACGTGTGTGCTTATCACCACTCTGCTGGCCATTGCTCAGTATCAAAATGGTAAGTCTATTTCAGCACATTAGCACCATCTTTAAACACAGCATGTTGAAAATCTGAATTTTCTGTAGGTAGGTAAGTCTAGTCATATATCAAACTTCAGACTTGACATCAAAAAATTTTAACACACAAGAAGCAAATTTCCAATTTGAGAAGAGCTAACTGTTAAAAAAACTTTTAATGCCATCTTTTTTTCTATACCCAAAATCTACAAAAAAACATTTATAGCGAAATAAATCCCAGTATGGGGTATTTAGCTATAGGGAAGGTATTGCCTAGGACACGAACTCTTCAAGCCAAGTGACCAAACTCTGCAGTCACTGATGATGACCTCCTACCTTAAAAAAAAAAAAACCTCATCTGTATCCTGGGTTCACTACCTCAGTAACAATTTATTGTTTAAAAAAGCAACCAGGGCTGGGGATTTAGCTCAGCGGCAAAGCGTCTGCCTGGCAAGCGCAAGGTCGTGAGTTCGGTTCCCGGTACCGGAGAAAAACCAAAAAAAA